TTGTTGGGGGATAAAGGAGGATTGTCACTGTCACAGGGGGCAAAGGAGCGAAGGAGGTGTGTGGCTCCCGAGTTCCAGATGTCACTCTAATGACATAATTATGACCGATTTACGACTCCCCTTGGCCTTCAATCTGTACAGGAAGCTATGCACAAAAACACAATTCCTGCATATTATTATTATCACTGTATGCTATTTCTACTGTAATTATGGAAGACTGTGTATAGCTCAGGTTTAATCAAGAATGAGTTGACAGAAAATCATATATTAATCCTGCATGATGAAGCCGTACAAAGATAACTGTTTCCTTGACAGATTATCAATCAAACGTCAAACTGGCCAGCTTCTTCTCGCCGACGCCCTGGAGCTGAGGCCATCTGGATCGGCCATTTTCTGGTCATTAACCACGCTCACATCCTGAAGTACTCCCATCTTTCCCCCAGAAGAGTGACTGCGCCTGGCTAGTCTGTGTTCACAGTTTGAGACACTTTGTTTGCTAAACTCTTTTCGCTTGGTGTGGGAGTAGAGACGTTGCTTTTGGAAGAGAGGGTGGCGATGAAAGGTGTTTTTGAAGAAGTGGAATACATAGGAAACTGTGAGGAATGGTCACGATGAAGGAGCACGGTGAGCTGTTGTTTCAGGGGGGACCTGGTAATGATGAAGGCAGTCCCTCTCTAACAGGGCTAATTGGGGTTCAGAGGAATCTAATGCATGATAGATGGAGATATCGAGGGTCTCGTGGCACGGCTGGCACGAGATCACAAGCTTTAATAGAGCCCAACCTTTCACTGTGGGCTGAAAGACATCTGTTGCCAGCAGGTAACCTCGGCTTTATCATTCCCAGCTAGACCCACCAACGAGCTCCTGGCACGACAATTTAAAGCGATGTATATATATGTTTGCCGGCTAATTCAAGCTGTCAACTTCGTCCCTGTTTGGAGGTGAAAAATGGATGCACCACGCTGCGCGCCAGATGGTAAAAATGGATCATCAATCTGAGACGGCAGACGTGTGATGGATGGATTCTCCAGAGTAAACAGTTATAGAGTAAGAACCACACTGAGAGGAAATTTGCTCACAAATGAGCACTTTTGTGTGGACATTATGCGCTGAAAGACATGCAAACGCTGTGATGACTATTCATGTTTCTGACTTACAATTTACAGGAAAAATCCAGATGGCAGTAAGAGGCATTCCCACCAACAAAAGAACAAAATAAAAATGTTTTTGAATTTGCTATCGCCCACATTTTTAACATTAGAGCCAGAAGTCTCCTGTAACAAGATCTTAAATGCATAATGAATGCAAACATAACTTTTCTGCATTAAATATCTTCATACAACTTGACCTATGTTGTTTATATTTTGCTAAGCTGTGTATATTATCCCAAATGTCTCAGAGAAAGTGTGACTTTAATGATAGGTGATGGTGCATTTCCTCTGGTCTCCTGTAATAGCATTGTATCGTTTGAGCACATGTCAGTGTCGTAAATTCACATTTAATCCAGTTTAAAGCCATATTTGAACAATAAACCGCTCCGATCTGGGTGCTTTTTGCTCTATATTTCAGATATATCAGAAAAACAGGCTGAGCAAACGTTCAGCTTGCAGGGAGAAGCTCTTATATTTAACGTCAAATTGCTTTATTCACTGTTTTTAACGCTTTTTAATCAAAAACCACGTGACCTATAAACACTGAACGAATTATAACTGGCAACACTGAAGACTACAACTCCCATAATCCCACGCTGCTTCACCACCACATCAAACTCTGTTCCTATGAAGACATGGCTTCTGAGATAAATTACATTTTGTGGTTTTAAAGTCTTAAAGGTCCCATGTCATGGCCATTTCTACTGATCATAATTCCATTGTTGAGGTCTACTAGAATAGATTTACATTGTGCAATGTTCCAAACTCACATTGGTTTCTCATACAGCATCTCTGTATAGTATGTGTATTCACTCTCTGTCCTAAACGGCTTGTTGGAGCTCCTGCCCCCCCCCCCCCTCCCTATAGCCCACTGTGCTCTGATTGGTCAGCTCGCCCACTCTGTTCTGATGAGTCCACCACCGTTACAGCGGAACATCAGTGATTATGTGTTACAATGGCGTTTGTTAGCAACCAGAAAATGACACCAGTAATGACAAACAGATGAGAATGCTGCGTGGGGTCTGGGTGCCGTGTTGGCTGGACGTTGCGCGGCTCGCTGCTGCGAGGAGCGGACAGTGTGAGCTGGGTTCATTTCCTGGTTGCTGCGTGGAGTCTGCGAGACAGCGAGACATCGCGAAAGGACACGGGAAGGGTGCTGAGGGGGCTGCAGCACCCCCATCTGCGAGGCTCCATGCATGACATGGGACCTTTAATAGTTGATCTTTTTTGATTAAATTGCATCTGTTGGTAATGTAAAAACAGGGGTTGTTTGCAGTGATGAACCTACAGATAATAAACCTCTGAATCTGCATGCCCTTCCTTGTGCTTTGTGGGGTTTTATAGTGAGTTTCAGCTCATTGTTAATCTGTCTGGCTCTTTACTGTTCAGGTTCGCTCTCTCTCCGCTCTCATAAAGTCCTTTTCTGCTGCAGGATCCAGATGTTTCAGAAAACAAAAGCTTTATAACTCACTCCACTTCACAGTACGTGCCCTGCACCAAACCAAATGACCAAATCACAAATGAAAATGGCAATTAAATACCCAAAAGCGGTATAAAAATAGTAACCAATAACAGCGATATTACACGTTGGAAATAAAATGGTGTGCTTGCATTAATAAAAAGCTTTTTGGGAAGTGAAACTAACAAAGAGCTTTTATTGTTTGGCAAGAAAGTTTAAAAGCTTATTTCCCAAACTGTTTCTTTAGGTTAAATTGCGGTCTCGTGAATCACCATTGGTGCACTTTTTGTACTCAAAATGCACTTTTAGAATAACTTGTTAGCAATGAACTCTTGTCTATAACCGTTCCTCAGGCCTAGATAACAGTCTGCCAAACTGTGCATGTCACATTTTACGACACATGAATTGAGGGCACAAAATATGCAGATATTCCACTTGGTTTGGTGAAGATTTTTGCATCATTTCAATGTTTTTTGCTGAATGACAACATGTTTAACATTTCATCACCTGACAGCTTCCCCTCGGCACTCTGGGTAAGGAGCAAAGTCCTGGGTGGCAAAGTGAGCGGGATAAATATCAGGATAAATATCACAATGTTTGCAAATGTAAACCTGCTGGGTCCTGTCATGACGAGCTGCAAAGTGCAAAGTGAAATCTCCTACACTAAGTTCAGAGTTTGAAAAGCTGCAAATTAGGGGGAAAAAAGCCGCATTGGAAGGTGGAGACGAGTCCTATTTTATGATGTCTCCATATGACATGCGACCAGCAGCGTGTGCCATGAATAAAACATTGTGCAGAGAGTAAACAGTTGTGTATCTTCACCTCAGATGCTGGAGAGGACTGTCAGACACAGCAGTTAACGGACCCGACCTCCTCATCATCATGCGGGTCGTGTTTCAGCACAACACCCCCCTCTCCCCCAGGAACTCACTAATTTTCCTCCAGAGTCGAGTAAAGTGAAGTGAGGCTGGTAGTCTCCTCCTCACTCGGATGCTTTTAAAGATTATCTTTGTAAATAAGGCAACCACAGCTTTAGGATTAGCTGCAAACAGAGTGGTGCAGGAATGAGTCCTAAAACACAGAAATGATGTGTTAAAGGACTGATCCTTGCCTGGAAATCAATGGTTTTCTGATTGTGTATTTGGTTGTTAGCCTGAAATAAGGTGTGTGGTTAACACAAGGTGAAGAAATGTGAATTCTACGACATAAAATACATCAGTAAATACCCCACTGGTGAACAAGTGTCTAAATGAGACGACTAAACGTCATGAGGCCCAACATTAGCCTCCTTTAGCTTAGCGGGGTGACGTGAAGTCATGTGACCGTGCTGTAGTTCCTTTATAGCCCAACTTTAGCTTAGCGGTGGTGACGTGAAGTCATGTGACCGTGCTGTAGTTCCTTTATAGCCCAACATTAGCCGCCTTTAGCTTAGCGGTGGTGACGTGAAGTCATGTGACCGTGCTGTAGTTCCTTTATAGCCCAACATTAGCCGCCTTTAGCTTAGCGGTGGTGATGTGAAGTCATGTGACCGTGCTGTAGTTCCTTTATAGCCCAACATTAGCCGCCTTTAGCTTAGCGGTGGTGATGTGAAGTCATGTGACCGTGCTGTAGTTCCTTTATAGCCCATCATTAGCCGCCTTTAGCTTAGCGGTGGTGATGTGAAGTCATGTGACCATGCTGTAGTTCCTTTATAGCCCAACATTAGCCACCTTTAGCTTAGCGGTGGTGACGTGAAGTCATGTGACCATGCTGTAGTTCCTTTATAGCCCATCATTAGCCGCCTTTAGCTTAGCGGTGGTCACGTGAAGTCATGTGACCGTGCTGTAGTTCCTTTATAGCCCATCATTAGCCGCCTTTAGCTTAGCGGTGGCCACGTGAAGTCATGTGACCGTGCTGTAGTTCCTTTATAGCCCAACATTAGCCTCCTTTAGCTTAGCGGTGGTGACGTGAAGTCATGTGACCATGCTGTAGTTCCTTTATAGCCCAACATTAGCCAACTTTATCTTAGCGGTGGTCACGTGAAGTCATGTGACCGTGCTGTAGTTCCTTTATAGCCCAACATTAGCCTCCTTTAGCTTAGCGGTGGTCACGTGAAGTCATGTGACCGTGCTGTAGTAGCCTAACGTTAGCTTTTTACTTCAAAAATCATTAAGTGGTGATAATATGTGGAGATTATCCTGTTGAAAAAAATGTGTAAGTATCATAAATGTGAGATGTTTCTGCATAATCCAAAATCCAATGAATAAATCCCACTGGCTTTTGTGGAGGGTACCAGGGAAATGTTGCCTTCAGGGTCATCCTAAAAAAATGTCAATTGGGCGCATCACTGAAGAATTGCCATGATTTAAACTGTACATGTAGTCGAAAGTGATTGATGACAACACAAAGGATTTTTTTAGAATATAGTTTTATTTATAATTTATACTTGGCAGATACAAAAAACTCTTGAACTGTATCCAAAGTGTGCAATAAATCACTGTTGATTTTTTTCCAAAAGAAAAATACAAAAAGAGCATCTACTTTGGAAAGTTGATGTAAACTGGAGTGAACTGGTAACTCTACAGAGGGTTTGCTAATCGCTACTAATGCTCCTTTAACCGACTACAGTTGTTAACAAATTGCAAATCTGCGTTGCTCTCCCAAGACGATAACAAAAGTCATTATGTTTACACACATCTACGTTGGTGACATTCTATTTCCCCGTTGTTAAATACAAGAAAGGCAATCATATCCTTATAAAGCAGCACAAATGTGTATAACACATTAAAATGAAAGTTCAAATTGTACCAAGATGTTCGTGTGAGAGTGAGAGAGGGAGAACATAAGAAAGAAAAAGAATGGGAATATTGAACTCATGTTGTAAACAATCACCTTCACTCACGGAGATGCAGAAAATAAAACGTTGTTGCTTGTTAAGTGCTGTTATTAATCCAAAATGCTTCAGCAGTCGGAACAAGCATCAACCTCTGGAATCAAACATTGAAGGCAATAATGCTGAGTAATAGTAAGTATTTTAGAAAAAGTCCCAGCAGCAACACCACACTGGTTCCTGCGTGTCGAAATCTGACAAATTAAAACTCAATTAAAAGAACATTGTATTAAAAAAAGACTAACATTTTACTTTCACATTTCAACTGAAACAAATACACACGAAATAAAAGTCAAATTTACATCCACGTTGTTTCCATGATCCCGTTCCTTTGAGTGAGTTAGCAGGGGCTTCGATATGACGCTGGCTACCCTTTATATCCCAAGATATGACACAAACAATCTGCTGTTGATCTAAACACGTATATGAACACAGAAGGACAAATGTGTGACTTTTATTTCTTTCAAAAGAAATGCCATCTGAAGGACAACTCGAGGCAGGAGAGCATCCAAAGCTTGTCAGTGGAGAATTTTCAAGTGCAAAAAATGTAATTTTTTTTTGTGTGTGTGATTCTCATGCTTTCTAAAAAAACTGTTTATCTGCAGGCGGATAAAATGATCACCTCAAACAAGCGTACATTCCTTAAGTACAGCCCAATCCCCCAGATGGCAAATGTCACAAAACAAACTCACAGACGGATCCTAAAAAGAAAAGAATACATTTGTTTTACACAGAATGTCCAGCCAATGTTTGCGACAGAAAACCCTCCCTCGACACAGCCAAACACTCGACCTAGATCCTTCATTCCTATACAACTCCTCAAAGCTTCAAAAAGTCTTTAAACATGCAACACCGTTCCTCAAAGTTCCTATCTAATTCTGCTGTGCTGGATTTACTTCCTCAGACACGGACGTTTCTAAAACTAGAACTATGCGCTAACGACCTACCAAAAGTTGTCCATTTTCCAAAACAGTTGTCATTCATTGTGTGAAGTTCCCTGTCAAAGTATCCATATAAAGCACTTGCGTAGCATTCTGTGTGCTCTTCCCTTTAGTACAGACCATCTGTGGGGACAGTGTGAATAAGCTATGGCTACAAATCTAATGTTTTTGAGGCCTATATGATGCCATGCAGCTGTGGTGGAGCTTTATTGAAACCCTGGCATCGCTCCGAGATGGCGAGGAGGACTTGACCCTGACTTTCCAAAATCATATCACGTTATCTCACAATATTTCCAGGAATCCTCTGATCTTTGTCCAGCTCGGTTTAAGAGAGAACAGCCATCACTACATTCTGATTTCAGTCAATTGAGGGCACTTTCCTTTACTTATAACCTGCCTTAAGTGAGTTGCACTTCAACATCACTCAAGCTCTTTCCATCGAGACGTTTCCTTCCATTTGGAGAATCTCCACAAAGCCTTTTCTACATGCAGACACGAGCATCACAGAAACAGTTGTTAGGCCTGAGCTGCGGTTTTAACATTCCTAATGCACAGATTTAACTTTTAAATGGTAACATATTTAGAAAAAGGTTTACACATCTAGGTGATGCCGTTCCTACAAACAGCACATTAAAAATCCAGCATTGTCAGTACCTTTAGGTTTGCACATTACATAGTGGCTTCATGCAGCCACACTAATTAAAGTTTCTCCTCTCACCAAACTGCTTCAACCCTCTCAGACCGGCACATTTTGGACATCTCTTGCAGGAAAATGGAGTGGACATGGCTCTGATTTATACCATTTGATGCATTTTCAATTGTTAATGTGACGTGTTGTTCCATGTCTATAAATGTCCATGATTGTACAAGGTAGGAAACAACTCAAAAATCAGATGATACCTGAGTAGTTACTTTAGTGAATTAGCAAAAATCTGGTGAACATGAAGTGTATCCTATGTAGACTGATTGCATAGTATGGATGCAGAGTGCTTTTCTTATTTTCAGTCGTGTTATGCAGAAAAATATGAGAATTAAAGAGCAAGAGATGATCAAAATGTGTCCGTCTGCAGGAGGTTTAACATTTGATGTAAAAATGGAATTGTAGCAATACTTTTTCATCCTTTAAATGTACAATTAGGTGGATAACATTTAAGGAATGTTCCCTACAGGCTCAACTTAAAAGCAAATGGCAATATGTTTTGAACAGCTGGATGTTACTTCACCTTACATCCCTATGTCTGCACTAACGACCCCTACACACGGCGGCGTGCGTTGAAGCTTCTGCCCATTCACTTTGAATGGGGTGACGTCACGCTTCGCCGAACTGCATTGTGGGGGCGAAGCGTAGCTTCAAAAGCGTTGCTCGCTGCAAAAGTTGAGCAATGTTCAACTTTTGAAGCTTCGGCGGAAGCGTCAGCCAATCGAATCATATGCCAGTACAAGCTCTAGCCAATCGAACCGCGTGCTTGTGTGTCCGGGGCGGGAGATTCATGTGATTGGTTGTTGGTCGAGTTTCAGCCCCCCCCGCCGGCAAGCTTCAACGCACGCCGCTGTGTGGACGGGCCGTTAGAGTATGCATCTAAGACAACTTGGCTGTATACCTCTTCTATATTTTTTGCAATAGATTATGTGCGGGACTATGTTTTTCTGGGAGTAGAGCCTCCTAAAACCAGCGTGGAGAAAAAACCCAGAGCAGTGGAATGGAGGACTAAACATTGACAGAAATCAAGAGCCACCAGAACCATCGTCTCAAAACTGTGGTTGTTTGTAAACCTTGTTTAAATCTCTTAACTGAACACAAAAGTGCAAATTGCTACCACTGTCCTGTCTCTGCGTCCTCAGTAGTGCTTCTCCTGCAGATAGTCTTTCATCTTGTTCGGTAAGGGCAGTTTCTGGATCAGGTCTATCCTCGTGTACTGTCTGATGACGAAGCGACAGAGGTACTGCAGGGAGCGCACTTGCATAAACCGAGACACTGGGTTGGTTAGTCTGACGGGGTATGTTGCAGATCCCGGTAAGCGAGACCTGGAGTAGCAGAAAGCTCCGGTCTCTGAGTCTCTGATGGAGTGTTCGATGAGGTCTACGATGGACGTGTGTCCCTCCACGTCCGGCTGCTCGTAGAAGCTGAAGCGTCCGTTGGAGTGTTCGATGCGCGTGTGCAGAGTCTTGCACTGCGACCTGAAGCTCAGACTGAGCAGGTACCGGTCGTCCGAGCTGTCTCTGACCAGGAAGGATCCGTCGGCCAGGTTCACCAGCTTCTCCTCCGCCTCCCAGCGAGTGATGGGACCCCAGTACCAGCCCTGCCTCGCCAGCTTCTTCAGCTCCTCCGTCAGACTGGTGACCACCATGGGCCCGCTGGTCTGCACCGACTCGTACACCCGACTCACCCCGGGGGCTGAGTTCGGGTCAAAGTTGAGGTGGTGTCTCATCCTCTCTGCCACATGTCTGTCTGTAGAGCTGAACCCCGAGAACGTCCGTGGAATAAGAACATTATTTAACATGGGCGGCAGGAGTGGAGAGAGGGGAGGGGGCACTTCTCCTCTTTGGAGCATCACACCGGCAGAACCGATGAGAAGACTATTAACTGAGGTTTCCATGAAGAGGTCTGGAGGAAGCCCACTCACCAGATCGTGCTCCTCCTGCTCCTGGTGGTCCGCGTGGAGGGACGCACCGTTGGCTTCAGTCACCACCTCCATAGGAGAGGAGCTGTCCAGGCAGAAGGAGTGGGACCCCTCGGGGTACATTCCCTCATCTAAAGGCATCGTGTACTGGATGTAGTCCTGGGGAGTCAACCCCAGCACCACAGGCACGTCATTTTCATCAATATCCAGATGCAGATCCCCGTTTTGAGGCTGCTGGAGGTTCTTAAAGGACTCAGCTCTATCCGGAAAGAGCCCTTCCATTTGAAAGTCATGAAATTCTCTCCGGACACCGTTTAGGTTTGGACTCGGGCTCGGAGAGTGAACCATGGCTTTGACTTTTACCTCCATCTTGATGCACGCCTCCTCAGAGTTCACTGAGCGCAGGGGCCACGGCGAGGGGCTGTAATGGTGGCTACGCAGAGACGCAGATCTCAGGGGTCTCTGGGCTTTCACATCGCTGAATCCAATGGGCGCAGACGAGGAAGAGAAGGTGTCGTCATCGTCGTCCACAGACCCAATGGCGGAGGAGTTGCCTTTCACTTTGGCCTTCTGTTTCGCAGACAGCCTCCTCTTCAGAGATCCCATCAGGCCCTCGCTCTTCGTGCGGCCCTTATTCTGACCGCCTTTGTCCTCCTCGCCGCCAAGGTCACAGCCGGAGAGCTCTTTGGTGTAGCAGCCCCCAAAAAGTGACTCTTCCTTAGAAAACTCTGTAGTCACCGAGGGCTGCTGGAGCATGACGAAGTCGCCCTCCTCCTTGCCCTTTATGCTGAGGGACTTGCGGATGGTCTTAAGGCTTATCTTCTTCATTCTGACAGGCCCTCCGCAGCGGGGGCATGGGTTGGCTCTCCTGGTATCCCGATGAAAGTACTATCCACAGCGTCCTCCCATCAGGCCGCACGGAACAAGTCATGCATACAGTGGAGCCATCACACCCTGCAGAAACAACACACACAAGATGTTATATAATAGTTTGTTCTAAAAAAGACTCTTCCAGATGGTTGTTCTTATGTTCTTAGTATCAAAGTTTAGCAGCGTAAAGCACCATTTAGAAAGTAACAGAGTTGAGACGCAGGAAGCTGACCATGCCTGGCATTTTTGATTGATTAATTACATATTTCTTCATATGAATAAGCTATAATTACAGCTCTTTACACCCAGGAAAGAATATACCATTTGCTGTTTACATGCATTTCATTCATTTGCTATTACTGTGTAAGCTGTATATGTTATTATACATCTAAATGATGTTGTATATTTACCGTTTTGAATAAGCTATTACGCTAATAATCTATTTTTCATACATATTTAATAGCATTGTGTGGGAGAGCCTGATAATTATAGATTTCCATTACCTCTCTGTAATTGTTGTGTATATGATACATACATTAACTTGAACAATCAATACTACATTTGGACTGTAATATGGTCAAACAATACAACATTAGACACCAAAAACTGCATTATAATCATGATTTTAATGGAACGAATAACAATCACTACTCTGACATCTGTCAAAAATAAGAGAAGGCGTAACACCTGACAAACTGGGATTGAAACAGCAGCCTATATCCTATATCTAGAGACATGTGCAGCTCCAGCTCCTAAGTAAAGCTGATAATGAAGACAGCTGCAATCTGATTACTCACCATTATGAGCAGGAAAATGGTGACTCAGTTGAATGGGTCAAGTTCCACTTCCACCTCCTTTCATTTGATGCTGCGAAACACAAAAGCCATTTATAAGCAAAGACCAACATGTAGGAGTAACAATTGATTTTTAAAAGGGGAGAAACACATGTCATGTAGATATATTTGACAAAACAATGAAGAAATACAATCAATTCTAGCCTGTTTTGTCCTGACCTGGCAAGGCCTACAAACACAACAGCATGCCTTTAGCTTAGCTTCGCTTCTCAATTAGCCCTCTTTAATGACACTATTATAAAACTGACAGCAACAACTACAATGTAATCGGTTCACCTTAAACATTAAGCTTATAATAAAAGAAAACAAGGTTAATGTTTGATCTAGCTTGCCAGTTTAACACACGTTTGCTTGCTTGTATGCTAATAGCTAGTTTGTTAGCATGTCTACTTTCAAAGTAAATAAACATTTAAACACATATATATCTACATGCATGTTATAATGTCTCTTACCCGGTGACTTCTGCTTGTATTACCCGATAAAAACACCCAGAGATGTTGGCATTTGTCCTGATAAACAACACGTTTATGAAGGGTCGCTCCTGCACGATAGCTTAGCTAGTTAGCTTAGCTAGTGTTAGCTTGCATTAGCAGTCGAAACATCACCTTTAGTCATCCCTCTGAGCACCAATACAAGTATAACGCGTTTATAATGCCAGGTTTGGTTCTTCTCTAAACATACAACTCTATATTTCCCACCAAAGAGACACAATAAGGGGATTTCTGAGTGTCCAGGTTAGCTAACAGTTTGTAGCTCTCGGCCTCTCTTCCCTTCTTCCTTTGTTGCCTGTTGAATTGTGGGAGCAGATTCAGATGCAGCGAATCAGACGCACAGCTCTCAACAGAGGACAGCCAAACACTGCACATCTTATTCAATACATGCACAATAACAGTAGTAATATCATAATAATATAGATACAGAATGTAAACAAACATAAAAGCATTCAAAATGATTCCACCTAATCTGCAAATTATTTGATATACAGACAAATAATTACCCAAATACATGTTTTGCACTGCAATGACAAAAACATGCTTATTACTTATTAAATACCCTGACCATATCTGATAAACAGACCCGAACTGTGAAATGTTTTTAGATGTCAAATAGGCTATTGTTGTTATTATTACTTGGAGATAGGTTAACAATATATGTTGTACTTTTATGGTTAGAAATAAGGATTTATTGAATTGGGTTCAAGGAAAAGTTTTGAGATTAACTCTTTTCAATTATCCTGATTATACAAGAAAACATTTAGTTCCTTAGTATCTTATGGTTAACAAATCATATTTAAATTATTACTACTATATTAGTTTATGTTACGTTCTAATTTACCTAATCTACCAAATACAATCTGCAAATAGAGTTTACACATGTCTAATATATCTCTTATGTTTGTGTTGTTCTCTTTCATAACTAAGACTATACAAGTATAAACAAAATTATGCTTGGACCAACAAGAGGGGGTCTTTATATACTATTTTTAGAGGTTTTTGGCAAAAATAAATTAAGAACCTGCAAGAAGCACAACATTTAGTAGCAGTGAAGTGAATAACTGGCCACCACTGCACTGAATGCTATTAAGCAAAGCATTTCACTATAACTGCTCTTACAAGGCAGCACAGTGGCTAAAAATAGAAGGAGTGCTTGTGCAATGCAGCGTCGAGCAAGATTTTGCAAACACATGCATGTTCTGTTAACCTCTGCTGCAAAAAGACAGAAAGACGTAATCAAATGGCGGACACTATTGTCTTTCTTATGTCATTTTTAAGGAAATGCAGAGATGGAAATGAATGGAGAGAAAACACTGAACAAGAAGCAACACTTGAACAAGAAGTAGTTGATGCAGAAAGATTCAGTTCACTCACAGCAGCAGAGACACACGACTCCCACCACCACCTGAATTTATTTCATGCAGTCCCTGAAATAATTTGCATTTGTACAAATGACTTGAGATTTTATTAAGGTGCTGCTTCACTCTCCCAGACAGTGGTTTTAAAATGCAGGATACACGTTTTTTCAGTCCCATAAGGAGCCTGCAGAATGGGTGGCATGCCTAAAAACATTCTAAAAAGAATCTAGTAATTCTAGTCTTTTATCTGAAGTGTCACGCATTGAATGTCTTTGCTAGAGAAATGTGAAACCATAGATATTTCCAATGTTCAAGTTCTTTATAGTAGTCAATCTTTGCATATAAAGATAGCCTATATGTTAGAGAATTCATAAGATAGTATAACGATAACTCCTGTGCAGATTTAAGCAAACCATTTAATCTTTGTTTGCTATAGAGCAATTATCATGATTTCCATGTCCCTCTGTGTGCTTGGCCTGCAGGAAGGTCTTGTTCATTTGTATTCCAGAAACATCAAGTTTACTCTCCAACTATTTGATGCAGCAACTAAAAGTTGAACTCTGAAATGAAACATTGGTCGCCTAATTAGTGTCAGTATTGTTCTAAAGTGGATTGTGTTTACCAGTGCCAGGCTAATTTGGTCCATATACTGAACAGTACATTGTTTTTCCACACTGTCAAGTGCATGGCAGTCCTTCCCCAGCCTGCTTTGGGCCGCTGTGTGCAGACAGGCTTTATGCAGAGACTCTAATTACCCGGCCCTATTAGGGCTGATCAGGCTGCCTTCACTTGATGTGTCGGCGCAGGGGGGGGGGGGATGTCAGCTCATTTAGCACCAAGGACACTGGGAAGCAAGGATGCAATGTTTCTACAAGCTAAATTAGATCTGACAAACAAAGTTTAGTCTGCTTGATATTTGTTGCCAGAGAGGAAAAACAATAAGTGTTCAGCTGTGGGCATTAAGTGTGTCATCACAGGATAAACAGATCAAACAACGGCAGGCTGCTTCACTTTCACACAGGTGCAGGACAACTACTCACATTATGTAGTACCACAGTGCAGAAATACTCTGTTACAGTAACATGCATGCTTTAAAATGTGCCTTAAGTCAAAGTATTGACAACAAAATATATACGCTAAGTACCAAAAGTTAAAATACTCCTTATGCAGAATACCATATTTCAATTACTTGAGTATAACATTCATGCATTAATGTGTTCATTTAATGTTGCAGCTGGTAAAGGAAGAGCTTGTATTAACTACTTTATATACCATGCAGGGAAATCAATAATAATACAGTTTAGGTCAAAATGTAGTAAGGTAAAAATGACAATTAACAAAGTAAAAGATGGTTTAAATTGATAGTATTTGTATTATTTATTTATTTTCAAATGTTCTTTAAATAATGCAATACTATCTTTACTTTAGTCAAAATAATTGGTAGTGAAAATCTGATGTTGTGACAGTCTTATTGTAAATAAATCAAATAAGTGTAAAGTAAGTACTTCAAACTAAGTGCTTGAGTAAACTTAGTTATCTTCAACCACCACAGGTTTCACAGGAATAAAATCTAGCAGTGTGAGATGAATCGAGTGTCTGCATCACGCCCAAGATCAATATTTCCAAAAGTAATTTGAATTTATGTATAAGCACGAGTCCAAACACTGAAAACAAGATGCAACATTCAGTAGGCCCCTATACCTCCACAAGTGGTGAAACGCCTCTATCTGAATTTCAAATGAATGCTGTATCAGCCATGAATTATTTGTACAAGATGTCTGTGCCGGCTGCAGTTTGACTCACTTGATTCCTCTTGGGGGGGGGGGGGGGGGGGGGGGGTATTCAGGGGCCCCTGGGTGCCCACGCTCATATCCTCAACATTTGCAGTGAAGCGGAAGAAGGGTAGCAGTAGACATGTCAAACTGTGACAGGACCTGTGGGAGCAATGGGTTTTGGTTCAGGGATAACTGCAGAAACACAGCATTTACAGAGCTGGGAAGTAGTGGAGTACAAATACTTCGTTACTGTACTTAAGTACATGTTTCTGGTATCAGTACTTTACTCCACTACTTATTTTTCTGACAACTTTTTACTTTGACTTCTTACATTTTGAACACAAATACCTGTACTTTCTACTTCTTACATGTTGAACACAAATACCTGTACTTTCTACTTCTTACATGTTGAACCCAAATACCTGTACTTTCTACTTCTTACACTTTGAACACAAATACCTGAACTTTCTACTTCTTACATGTTGAACCCAAATACCTGTACTTTCTACTTCTTACATGTTGAACACAAACACCTGTACTTTCTACTTCTTACATGTTGAACACAAATACCTGTACTTTCTACTTCTTACATGTTGAACACAAATACCTGTACTTTCTACTTCTTACATGTTGAACACAAATACCTGTACTTTCTACTTGTTACATGTTGAACACAAATACCTGTACTTTCTACTTCTTACATTTTGAACCCAAATACCTGTACTTTCTACTTCTTACATGTTGAACACAAATACCTGTACTTTCTACTTCTTACATGTTGAACCCAAATACCTGTACTTTCTACTTCTTACATGTTGAACACAAATACCTGTACTTTCTACTTCTTACATGTTGAACCCAAATACCTGTACTTTCTACTTCTTACATTTTGAACACAAATACCTGTACTTTCTACTTTTTACATGTTGAACACAAATACCTGTACTTTCTACTTCTTACATTTTGAACCCAAATACCTGTACTTTCTACTTCTTACATGTTGAACACAAATACCTGTACTTTCTACTTCTTACATGTTGAACCCAAATACCTGTACTTTCTACTTCTTACATGTTGAACACAAATACCTGTACTTTCTACTTCTTACATGTTGAACACAAATACCTGTACTTTCTACTTCTTACATGTTGAACCCAAATACCTGTACTTTCTACTTCTTACATGTTGAACACAAATACCTGTACTTTCTACTTCTCACATTTCCCAAACAGGCTGGTTCCTTTAGTTTGAATGTGTGTTTGGTGGCGTGATCATTATTATTTAGAGTCATTGCGTGCCTATTGATTTGAACACGATCCGTGTATCCATCATTTCCTGGTCTTCTCTAAAGAAGAGGGACCAATGAAAACGTTGTCATGTTGCCGTTGTTCAGCATGGAAACATTCATTAGCTAACAATGACATTATTGTTCTATTAATATAAAGGGAGGTCAGGTACTCTTTAAAACAGCTGCTAGTTATGGGTACTTTTTACTGAAGTACATTTCAAAGCCTCTTTACTTTTACTTGAGTAAAGAAGTTTAGTCAGTACTTCTACTTTTACCAGAGTATTTTTAAACACGAGTATCTGTACTTCTACTTGAGTAAAGGATGTGTGTACCATCTCTGAGCATTTATGAGAGAGTCTACACTTTGATTTCACTGCATTAATTTATTCCTTTTCCCCAATTTAGTGTTGCAACATTTAAAAATCAATGAATGCCCCGTGGCTGAATCAGTCCATCATATCTCTCCTTGCCTCAGGTTAGAGGTCTTCAGATATGATTTAATTATTACTCTAACACCAGCTGCATACATGCAATGCAATGTCTCGTTAAAACAATAAATGAATTGCTTGTGTTTGCTCATGCTCTTCAGGTCTGTTGTAACATCATCCTTGAGTTCACATTAATAATTCTGGAAGCAGCTCCTTGTGTTTTGTCCACATATGGGGTGCTGAGTCTTGGACAGCTATATAATGATATCATTAACAAGCAGATTTGACCTTGTTTAATGCGTGAAACGCTTTTGAGTCAATCAATCAATTAGCATGGCAGCCTTTGGGAAACCTACCTAATATTAACACCTACTTATTTGATTATTTCCCCCAAAATATTATTATTATCGTGAATATTTCTTCTATTTATTAGATTTTTATTATTTGTGTGAATATAACCATTGCTTTTAGGTTCACCTGCTGCTGTTTGGTTTTGCATGTGTCTTTATAATATAGTTTAGCTTTGCTTATTTAGAATTTTTAGACGTTTAAGTAAATATTTTAAACCAATTTGTGTAATAAAGATCATTTTAACTGATTATTTCTTGTTTGTTGTTTTCTATTCAATGATTTTGATCTTGCAGCCAAGCTTTCCTGAGTTTCCTTTTTGATTCAATTTAATAAAATGACTTTACTTTGAAACCTGTCTCTGCCGCTCAGTTAACAAACATATGTCCTGATTTCTTGCAATGTCTTCTTGTGTCGTTGTCCAGGGGTGCAATGGCATTGTCTGTCCTTTATCCCCTTTTTTAAAGATCCAATTTAGCAAAATATAATATTCAAACACACCACCCCGCCACACTTTCTATTGTGTATTAATGTTGGCTTTGTTTGTGAATCACATATATTCCTGTATGTCACCTTGTTTTCTTATAATTGTTATACTACTAACTGAAGCTCAGCGCAAGTTCTTTCACTAAGACCGGGTATATATATACATTCACTCCGCAGCTGCTTATTATCAGCTCATCACAGGCTTTCTGTTAGCCTATTACATTCACCTCAATCCCCAGCAGCCAATCACCGTGCAGCAGCCAAACTTTAAAATGGTTCTCCTCTCTCCTGCAGTCAGCTGTGATGTCAGGCGTTCATGCTGCGGCCCGCCTCCTCCCCATCCGCCTCCTTTCATCACATCCAGTGCCAAGGAGAGCTAATCCAAAGACCTCATCACATCCCCTCTTCATCCCATCTCCTCATCAAATCCAGATCTTCAGCATCATCACCAGTGTCTAGACCCCGGGGGGGTTCCCTATATGCTCACGGCTGCATTTCCCCCTTTAGATATATGATTTCAGGATCGGGGTCTAATCGCCAAAGACTTAACTTTTATCATATGACATGTGTCAATAAATGTTCTTTAAACAAAATGAAGTTCCTCCTGATTGAACTAGTGTTTATGCCTACCTTGCTCTTGACTACCTTGCTCTTGACTACCTTGCTCTTGCCTACCTTGCTCTTGACTACCTTGCTTTTGCCTACCTTGCTCTTGAAAGGATACGTGTTTTGCTTAAAAACAAACTGGATAGGTTTTGGGAAATCTGGAAAACCTTTTTCGACTTCCCCGTGCATAATGGTCTACAACATGATTGGGAGAATGAAGTCTATGCATTAAAAACTATAAAGAGACGTTTGAAGAAGTAGAAAATTACACTAAATGTCAAATGTTTATAATAGTGCATTTTCCACAATAAACGAAATATTCTTGTGCACACATAGAACACATGCAATGAGTTAAATGTCTCTTATAGGGGTCAATGGACTTTTCATACACTCTCTAATTGGGTGTGTTTTGGCTTGATGTCTCGTGGCAAAACTATGCATTTTCACTACGTTTCCAGCTCTGCAGCGTGTAGTGTCTTTAAGGTATCTCTAAATGAGACCTCAGCAGGTTATTGCTCCATGCTTGCGATAGTTCAGAGATGTTGGAGAGTAAATCTGTCTTCACAATGTTTTTATTTGGCATGATTTCCACTCAGAGATCAGCCTTGCATTCATTAACAGCCTGAGGGGCATTCTGGCATATGAGTAATTTAGCCTGATGTAAAATAAATGACAGATTGTGCGTCTGGTTTACAAATCCTTAAATTGCTTTTGAAAACACAAGCAATTAAATATTGAAAAGTGTCAAAGACCGTCCTCCTTTTTAAAGATGTTTACAGGGAACACAAACAAAGGTCATTTTCAGGACATGAGGGGAAACTTAAAAGAGCAAACCACCTCTGGGCTGAGAGTATACACCCTGTTTTCATTTATTTAAAGTGAAGTTTTGCTTCCTGTCTGCAGCCTATATGCTAACAAATGATCCAAGACACACAGTGGTTGTCCAACAGAAAGGATGGGATGTACTGTTTGAAGCCGACTCGACAGCTTTGCTAGTCTGACCTCGGGCAATTTATTTTTCCAGCAGGAGAAGAAGACCTCCTCAGCGGGTTTGGATGTCAGAGTCAGTTTGCTTATTGTTCAAATGTAGCTGCGTAGACCTATGCTGTATCAGAGCGTTATATTCTTTAACCTCAATGACAGGTCCATCGATAAGACTCGTGCTGTTTCCAACCAACAATACTTTGTTTAAAATTCTACCTTGCTGCAAAGGTTTGCAAACATTTCAAACTACATTACAGGGATGTGTTTGTAAAATAGGTTTCCATTTATCGAAGCATCTTGGGTTTTCAATATATGGCTCAATGTGCAAGAATATGATAAATGAACCCCTCGATCAAGAGCTGCAGATTCAAATAGACATTTTCATGCAATTTGGGTTTTATTAGTGTCTTTTCGTCGCCGTTCTAGGTCATTTCAAGACTCAAGAATTTGTTTTTGGTTATTTTGTGTATCTTATTTGTGGTTTTGTAGACGTTTTGCATCTCTTTTGGGTTGTTTTTTGTTGTTTTGCAGCCCTTTTTCATCATGGATTATAAAAGCATAACATATGTTCTCTTCTACCCCCTCAAACTCTTCTAGGTGACAGAATACATACTGTAGTGTGCACCCAAATTAATTATGCGCTAATATCTCTCAGGAATTCTCGAAAGCTGTTACATTATATTATTATCATATCAAATACCATTTGCTAAGTTCGTTAATTATCGCCCTGTCGGCTGATCACATCCACATCACAGCTCAAGTGTGAGATCTGGTGTAATTGGATTTACTTACTCACAGAGTATGAAAGAAATTCTGCACTCGTTAAGAGGCGATGCACATCCACTTTGATTTTTGAGAGCGTCAATGTTTGAAAAGATTAATTTAATGACAAGGTAGTGTTGCTGCTGTCAAAACTTCTTTCAGTATTCAAGCAATTCAATAGCCTTCAATGATTTAGGAATATAGCTTGAAACACTAATTATCCTGACAAGAAAATTCACTTCAGCATGCCTATATAACCTTTTAAAAGACCTGATAAAACACTAACTCATTACATCAGACGTTTCACAAGACGAACAATGTTCAGAGAAAGACAGGATTTATTATGGCATTATCAGAAATTAAAATTAAATACTGCACAGTGGAATCAATAATGTTTATTGTACTTTTATTTAAAACACGAGGACAGATATTTGATCAGTTATTGTCTTTTTTGAGCTGTTTTGCTTACACGTTGGTTTTAAAGATAGGATATCGTTTATTGATCCAATTTGGGAATTTCTTTTGACACAGCAGCATAGATAAGACATTACACATGAATTAGAAGTGAATAATACATAAAATAACCAACCAATATACAGTATATTCATAATTAAGGATAGAGCATAGACAGTATATTGAATACACAAGATAAATATACAGAATTGAAGGCATTGTAAATTATGATAAGCCAGACTATCAAACTTACAGAATGTCAACATTGAATACAGTATACTATTTATTTACATTTGTATATTTACACCTGAGAACAATATATACAAATGAGTGAATTAGTGTTTTTGAGAAGGAGTTAGCCGGTTTCTCTGAATGATGGTGCCCTGTTTTTCCAAAATAACATCTGTATTCAGGGGTGTCCAAACTGTTTTCACCGAGGGCCACATACAGAAACATATACGAAGGGCCGGGCCACTCACTAGAGATGAGATGTATTGCCTCATAAGTTAAGTTATAAGTCAGAAAAATTTATCAAATGTAAATTATGCTTGATACTTGAAAATGCCTTAAGCAAAAAAAACGCCTATCTCACAGCTCTCTTTATTTTGTTGGCAGCTCATCCCTCAGTTTGCTGATAATAAGGAGAAATATGAAGGGTATATTTCGAGCTTGTTATGTAAATAAGTTATTGGGCCTTTTTTTTAATCAACTAAGATATGTTAGAACATTTTTCCAACTTTAACTGACTGAATTTATTTGAAAAGTTGGCTTATTAAAACATGAATACTACTGTGTAATATATTTTAACGTATATATTTAACAAGTACAATATAAGACAAGCACAAGTTTCATTTGTGGGCCATATTAGATGATACTTTTAGAATTTGCTGAGGGCCGTAGTTTGGACACCCTGATTTACACTGATTTTATTAAATGTCCGTTTTTCCCACACAGCTGTAGCACCTGAACGCACCGCGGTCCTCGCGCAGGAAGTGGACCTGAAGGCGCGTTTGTTGAACAGAAAACTGTTGACATGACACCGGCGGACAAACACTCAATAAACGGGCAAACCTCGGGTATTTACAAAGCGTTTTTTAACCTGTTTCCACACAGGAAGATTGAACATGGAGTTATCCCCGCTTATAAAGAAAATAGGTAAGCTAACTTAAAGCTAAGTCGCTAAAGAGCTTGACTTTATTGATGTAAACAAAGTGTGTTAGTGTATTAGCCTCTTTTATGCTAAGCTAACAATAACACTGTAGATATATCTGATACACTGTTAACGTTCATCTAATTTAAGTATGTGAAGTTGTAGTTAATGTGAAGGCTAACTACAGTAACACATGTCGGTAACTTTTGTAAACTTCAACACAAAGTTAGCTAGCTGTCAAACTAGTCAAAACTTAGATAAAAACAACTAACTGTCAGAAGTGGAAAAAGTACTAATTTATTACCTAAGATAATTACTACAGATAAAAGCACTGTGTTCAAAATCATACTTTACAAAAAGCACACAAGTATTGCCATATCAATGTACTGAAAATAACACAAGTTTTCATTTTGCATTATAGTCCATTTAAGAATAATTACAATTAAAAGTATTTTTGATTAAGATGCATCACAGCTGGTAAATGTGGAGGTAATTTGATCTAATTTGTGTTGTTTATGTATACATTTATTCATATTTTGTAGTAGCTAATAATCTGAATCTGTAAACTAACCAAAGCTGTCAAAACATAATATTTTCTTCCAAGTTTTTAGTGATTGAGAAGTTGAAAGAAGCATCAAATTCATCCATTTTCCACCGCTTATCCAGAGTCGGGAAATAGTTTGAAGTATCTCAAAATCATACTTGAACACCTGAACTTTTGAAAGAACATCCATAACATTCATCTGTTTGCAACTTATATATACCAATATTCCAATTACTTGTATATCGACTATTCTGTGCTATTTCTATTATATTTACTTGCACTGTTTTATCTGTTTTATTGTGTTCTGTTGGAGGAGCCTGAGATTTTCATTGATATATCTACACTGTAGCTATGTACAAATGACAATAAAAGCCTTGAATCTTGAATCTTGAGTACAGTACTTGAGTAAATATACTTTTTGACAGTCCACCACTGCTAACCACTATAACGTCACTTCTCCACGTTGTGTTCTTCGTCCTCAGGCCACTCTTTGGTGGAGATAAGAGTGCGAGCGCTGAAGAACATCTTGTGTAAACTGGACCATTCCCTGATCTCCGTCTCAGACATCGTGCAGGAGAAGATGCTGTTTGTGCTTCTTCTCGAGTGGTTCAATTTCCCCGAGGTGCCGATGCAGGAAGAAGTCCTTGAGCTGCTCTCCACGTTATCAAAGGTAGATACATTTCGAGCAGAAAGATGGATATATTTCTATCTGGTTTATAGATATGTTACAAGGTGAGTCCTCAGGTGGACAGAAGCTAGACAGGAGCAGTCTACCAACTCTCACAATATGCTGATAAACTTATAATGTTGTTTTGGGTTCAGGCTTTCTTTGACAAGGTGAACCAGACTTTAACCAGTATGTTAAAGTAGGATCAATATTCTACCAATGTATGTTGTGATAAAGTTTAATAACAGGCCTAAATGGATCCTTTAAATGTGGGTTTTATGAGGTACTTATCCATAGTCCGTTTATTACCCATTACTTGGGACAGGGACATCAGCTAAAATGTATTTGAGCCACCAAATTAAATCGATATCAGTGTAACTGTAATCATTATATTTTTAGACAGCCCCTTCCAATCAGGATTTTTCTTGTCCTTTTGAATCAACTGGTTGGTTTGTTTTGTTGTAATGTGACTTTGCCAAATTTAGAAAATCCAAAGACACACAATAACACAAACAAACTAACCTTTAAAGTCAGCGTTCGATTAGCAACTCTTCTGGGAGGTAAAATGACAGTTTTTGCCAATGGATTCTGGTGACTTTGAGAAAGCAGAGATGCCGGATTCATTTCCTGTCAGAAAATGCTGTCAAATGTTAAGTTAAGCCTTAATAATATTCTAAATACAGTTTACAATTAAACTGATATTTATTTATTAAAGGTGGGGCAGGTAATTCACTTCTGGAATGCTCTTAACATCCCGATAGCAATTAATACATGAAATGCCATGACAGTAAATACATAAACACATCATCTGTGGAAGCCGTAATACTGTAAAAAGCACGACCAATCATCTGAGCCGGCCCGGCTAAAATAACTGGATGGCCTACCTGCCTGTCAGCCTTCCATCTGTGCACAAACTTATCTCGTGCCCTCATTGGTCATGTGCGCGTTCGTGTGTGTTGGAGGAGGGGCTCTGTAAGGAAGTCTGAAGGAAGGGGCAGATTTTTTTCGGCGGCGTACTTTCAAATTCTAGCGCACTCGAGCTGGTTTCTCCATCCTTACCTACCCTACCTTTAAGGTGTCTTAAATACATTTAGCTGCTGCCCCAGTTCACAGCAGTTCATTACTTTACTTCCTGTTGTAACCAAACCCACTTCCGCACTATCCCTTCAAATATCCAGACCTTCACAGACAAAATGTACCTCAATATCAGCATGGGTGTAAATGCAGAGTTATTTTCACAGTGACATTCTGACAGCTACACCGAACATTACACTGAATTATAGATTTTTCATTTCATACTTGTTAGGAAAATATCTCTCGTCACCGGCTTGAGCTTCAATCTCAGGATCCATGTATTTGTGATCCTCTCCAGAATGGAAGTAGTCATCACATACAGAGCATCAACTAGTTCCTGAACAGTGTCCTTCACATGCTGATATCCAAGAGAGGGAGTTACACAGTCACAAGATGGAGGAATAGAAAGCAGTATTCAATGTTTACTTCAGATTAGCTCCACGTCAGAAATGATCATGCTTGTCATATGTCTATCTCCATAGAGGCTGAATCATCATGTTAATCACATAGCTATCATATGCCTAAAACAGTCCTGATGCTCTTCTAGGTAATCATACATCCTGTCATGTACACAGCTACAGTTGGGATACCTTTGTTATCATGTGTACTCTGATATTGGAAGAGGACATTCAGTATTTTCCCAACAATACCTATTTTTCATTTTGTGTCTTCCAAGCATCCGAGTGCAGCCCAGATGCTCAGAGACGTCGGGGCGGTGGACTTCCTCTCTCAGCTGTCTCGTAACGTGGAGCCCAGCCTGCGAGCTGTCATCGACGGGACCCTCGACCAGCTGTTCCTGCTCCCCCCACTCCTCCCCAGTCACAACACAGTCTCCACGCATGGACAGCGCAACACAACTCCAACAGGTGCTGCAAGTTCTCCTTCTCTCTGCTACAAAACACATCATGTTTTATCATTTGGTGGATGAGAGAGTGGTGTCTTTATAAGAGTTTGATGCTTTAAAGGTCCCCTATTTTACTGTTCTTCATCAATATATCACAGGTCTCAGATATATACAGAACCTGTCTCTGATTGGCTGAAACACCAAACAGATCATTGCAGCATTACCCATAATCCCCTCTGTTTCAGCCCTGTTTCCAAAGTGCTGATTCTCTGTCTGTTACTTTAGATGAAAATAAGGAGCCCCTCCCCACGCCCCTCTGAGAGAGATTTGGTTAAAGAGAACTCAATGGTGCTCTAGGAGGAGATTCAGGTGATAAGGGGGGGGGGGGTTACCTTGGTTGCTGATTGGCTAATGGTTACACAAGCCAAAAAATCGTTATGACATCATAAAGTGGCCAAAATCTGATCAGCTCATTTTCAGACAGGTTTTATAGAAATGGATCAGGACAAAAAGAGAGAGAATCTTTGTTCCTGAAACGTTCAGAGTCTCTTTCCACAGAGGGGACACATAATAGGTGAGCTTTAATGCAGGATAAGGTGGTGTCTTTATAAGAGTGTGTTGCTTTAAATGTGTGAAAATACATTTGATCTCCTGCAGATGTTCCACCTGAAGACCATTGTCCTAAAATGGGATATTTCCACAAGAGCATGCCAAACCATACAGATGTGGCGCCTCAGAAGATAGCAGGTACACATTTCTACTGTATATTGTATTAACAAGCACTCATAATGATAGATATAGACATTAAAAGCTATTAGTATAGGCGTAGAACAGACATAGATACAAGTATAAGAAAGAAACACCCAATTAAAAGGCACCAGTATTTTGAAAAGTCAGGTTTTTTGTAATTTAGTTTGTTCTTGTGTCTAATAGCATGACGTTTTGACTGTTTAATAATTGTCTTTTTTATGTTTTATCCTTAGTGCACGAGTCTGTGAGGTGTCTCAAGTTTTCTGTGTTCCCATGGCTGACTTTGACGAACACGGACAGACACATACTGTCATCCAACGAGAGGTGAGAGACAATTCATGTATCTAACAAATAACATAGGCATGGTAAAAATGCTAAAGAAAGCTCAGGAACTTTTTTTATTAAAGTTACCCAGAATAAAAGAAAATCTGTGCCAACCTGTCAAAAAAGTTGTTTTGTATAATAAGTGTAATTTTTTAACAGTTCTCTAAGGAGCAGCAACCCTACCTTGGTGCGGACTACATGTGAACTCCTGTGTGACGTCATTATGCAAGACTTTCCTGCTGAGATCTTCCTGCAAAGGCCCAGCATAGTGCAGGTATCAATACATGACCTTGTTCCTGTGCTGACTATAGTATTGTTAATGTGCATATGTTCATGTTTAGCTATACTGATGTGGTTTGGAAGTTGTGAGCAGAGAAACCTCAACACAAAACTTAGCTTTAATGCTTTGAAGCACATGTTGAATGAAATGCTTTTATTGCACTATGAGAGCTTTAGTGGGAGGGTTAGAGAAAATAAAAGGGAGTTAGTGAGCAGCTGTGATCCAAAAACTGTCTTTGATTATGAAGCCCAGTGTTTCAATTCTCAGTGTTATCAGTGAAGTGTGTGAGATACACTGCAGACTCTATTCTAACAGGGATAAACAGAGAGATGGATGACTCCTAAACGGCAGGTCCATGCGTATACTGTGCTATATTATAATAAAATATGACAAATGTAGCAGCAGAAACTCTGGGATGTTGGGGATCGTGATTCTATTGCAACTTGCACACTGGAGTAGCTTTGACTTCAGTTCAGGATGTATGATTATCGTCAGTCTAAAGCAGGGGTGTCAAACTCAAGGCCCGGGGGCCAAATCCGGCCCGCGACTTCATTTTCTGTGGCCCCACAAGAGCTTGCAAAGAATATAATATGTTTATTATACGGTTACATGCTACTTTACAGAAGCACGTTGCCCATAAACGACATGTCCCACAATGCATCTGAAATTTGACTTTTTCTCAGAATTTGACTTTTTTTGTCCAAATATGCCTTTTTTCTTAGAATTAGCCTTTTTCTCATAAATAGATTTTTTTTTCAAAATGTCACTTCTCTTTTTCAAAATGTCACAATCAATGTTTTTCCAGAATGTGGCTTTTCTTTTAAAATCATATTGTGACATTCTTACTGAAGAGACTTGCAATTATTTGCTCTAGACTTCTGCTTTCAGACGTAGTTAATTATGAAGTTATATTAATTAATGATATAGTCTTAAAGTTACAACCGGCCCTTTGAGTGCAACCATAATGCTGATGTGGCCCGTGATGAAATTGAGTTTGACACACCTGGTCTAAAGACAAAAGCCTCTATTTGATTCGTCTTGACTTAAAAACAGAAGCTGGATCTTGACTTAAATATTCTTCTTGTTTATTCACATCAATTAAAGGACATTGTCTCGAGTGGGACCGTGAACCATCCTATAATGTATTAGATGGTCATTCAAGCCATTGTCACAATAATAACCTGTCAAATGGTGTCCTTGATCAAAACACCAATTTATAAATGTGTGTCCCTGATCCTTCTGGAGGTTGAGGATCCTCAGGAGGCAAAGGGATGTGCTTCAGGAGGCAGCAGAGTATAGAGGATACAGTGTGGTCATGATGCTCCTACTGCAGGTGTTTAAACATCCTTGGTGCAGTTTTTTGCTGCTTTAAGGCGTCCTTAAATATCAGAGATTCTGTAAAAGTAGGGGTTCAAACTGTCCTCGTCCTGGTCTTGTTGGCTTTGCAGGAATTTAAACTATCTGTTATTGCAAATGACATATTAAGGTGCTTGTTTATTGTACTCAATGTCACTTGTTTTATATTTAAAGTAGGGCTGCACAATTTGGAAATAAATAACAATTTTCCTGATATTGCAATTGACTCACGGATTTGGAGGGTTTGATGCACCTACTGCAGAGTTTAAACATCCTTGGTGCCGTTTTTGCTGCTTTAAGGCGTCCTTAAAGGGGACCTATCATGCAAAATGCACTTTTTGATGTCTTTTATACATCAATATGTGTCCCCGGTGTGTCAGGGAACTCACGCAGCGTCAGAAAATAAAACCCTCTCTTTTCCTCCGTACCCAAATCTCTAAAAACGGGGCTACAACGGAGCTGATCCAGATTTGCGTCCGATATGACGTAATATCTGAAATGTGGACCCACGGCCCTATCAGAAACGTTGCTATCAGAAACAATGCCCGACTGTTTTGGACGTAATATGGTCGGTGTTCACATTAGCATCGCTAACACTCAGAGCTAACCTGTACTGGAGAGCATGTGTGTGAAGAAGCAGGAAATAAAAAGGAACTCACCTTGTGGTATAACCGGCAAGAGAGAAAGCCTTTGAGCTCCATACTGTTTCAGAAACAATCCTTGATAATCCATGATATGGCGTTTCATCACGGCAGCATTTAGTTTAGACAGTAGCTGCCGGGTCCCGCATGAGCTCAGACCCCTCCTTTTTTAAAGCTTTATACCCCAGATCAGCACTTTTGAAACAGGAAGTGAAATAGAGGGATATGAGGCATGGCTAGAATGGGTGATCTGTTTGGTATTTTGAGCAAAACACTTCATAGACATGTTTTTTATATATTTGTATATATCTGAGACCTATGCTATTGCCTAAAAATAGCATGATAGGTGACCTTTAAATATCAGAGATTCTGTAAAAGTGGTCCAGGTTGTCTGCAGGCGTTCAAACTGTCCTCATCCTGGTCTTGTTGGCTTTGCAGGAATTTAAACCATTATTGCAAATGACAAGTATTAATGTGTCATGTGAGTGTTTGGAACTAAATGTTACTTGTTTTACATTTTTGCATCATAATTCAAAAAATGAATAGGGTCAGTACCAGACAAATCATTTTCGTCAAGTCTGTAGAATAAGATTTGAAGGCAGCTATATCTCTGCAGCCCCACATTACTTCATACAAAACAGGATTTTTAATTGTAACTTAATCCAGATGAGACAACAGATCTTTATTTTAAATATCTTCTTTGCCTATTCATGTTTTAAAAACCCCTGCATGTATTGATGTAACCTGTTAGCAACAAAGTGCATCTGTTATCTCTCAGTTTCATAGGCGAAGTATTGGAGGAGACATGATTTAGGCACATTAGCATACTGTCACCCAGCAGTCTCATCATCTAAAGAACTCATTCTGCTCTTCCTCGTGTGGCTTTTGCTCGACTCTCCTCTGAGGAGCTGGAGCTATTAAGTTAAATTAAAAGACTTGGATTTAGAGACATGCCATCATTAGCACCAGTTGGCAGGGAGTCTGAACTCAGAACAAATTGTTGCTTCAATAATTTAGTTCAACTTTTTATTACAACTTTTCTCGCACTGTCTGAGTTCAGGTGCTACATAGTTTGAGTTTCTCCTTTCTTATAAAAGACCTGTAGTATTTTGGATCCTGTTGTATTTTCACTTTCTATTTTAATTATCCAGAATATTGTATATTGTCTTGTTTATATTCTATAATAAAAAAAAAAAAGTTAATTCTCTTTTCCACTTTAAATGCATTTATTTATTTAAAGCAGGGGTGTCAAACTCTAGGCCCGTCTTCATTTTATGTGGCCCTCAAGAGCTGGCAAAGAATATAATACGTTTATTATACGGTTACATGCCGCTTTACAGAAGCACGTTGCCCATAAACTACATGTCCCACAATGCATCTCTTTTTGTGACATGCGCACTGAAGAGACTTGCAATTATTTGCCCTGGACTTCTGCTTTCAGACGTAGTTAATTATGAAGTTATTACCCTCTCCGATAATAATCTAATGCAGAGGCAATAATGTAATATAATACATTATTTTATATATATTATATACTTATATATGTATATTTATATAGTCTTAAAGTTACAACCGGCCCTTTGAGTGCAACCATAATGCTGATGTGACCCGCGATGAAATTTAGTTTGACACCCCTGATTTTAAGTGTTGTATTATAAATTCTGAACACACTTCTGCGAGAAAAATAATTTCCCAAATTGGGATAAATAAAGTATCCATCTATCTATATATCTATCATATCCTACATTCTTCTGAAAACCTTCTATATCTCAGCTTCCCAGTGACAGTATTCCTCTGATCTGGCCTGTGTTTGCAGAACCTGCTGTTCCTGCTGAGGCTGGGTTCAGGTAAAGGTGAGTCGAGGTTCCTCCACCTGCAGGCGCTCTCCTGCCTGAGGCAGCTGTGTGTGGGGCTGAGGAGGAGACTCCGCTTTCATCAGGATCCAAGCTTCTTCTCCACAAAGCAAGGTAGGTGTTGGGAACATACTGAATGTCCTCTTCCAATATGAGAGTACACATGCTAACAAAGGTATCCCAACTGTAGCTGTGAACATGACAGGATGTATGATTACCTAGAAGAGCATCAGGACTGTTTGAGGCATATGATAGCTATGTGATTAACATGATGATTCAGCCTCTATGGAGATAGACATATGACAAGCATGATCATTTCTGACGTGGAGCTAATCTGAAGTAAACATTGAATACTGCTTTCTATTCCTCCATCTTGTGACTGTGTAACTCCCTCTCTTGGATATCAGCATGTGAAGGACACTGTTCAGGAACTAGTTGATGCTCTGTATGTGATGACTACTTCCATTCTGGAGAGGATCACAAATACATGGATCCTGAGATTGAAGCTCAAGCCGGTGACCAGTGATATTTTTCTAGCAATATGAGATGCAGCCGTTTCGTACATGTGGTTGTTTATGTACACATCATCTTTAAACCAATATATTTGTTATTTGGTTGTGATAGGGCAAGTGGCAAATTCCTAAAGACCTACACTGAGACATTTTGATTTCATTAAACTGTAGCAGCTATACTTCCAATAGCTGCCCAAGTGAAAGTACAAAACTAGTTTCACCAAATGCTCATGAAACTACCGAAAGTAATCATTTACATATTATATTATTGGACTTTGAATATTGATGCAGCTAATAAAGGTGGAGCTCTCTTTAATTGCCCTGTATACTTCTGGGTAGCTTAACCGATCATAATGTATCTTAGTTTAGTTCATGATTTATGTTTGTAATTAGAACCTGTATCTGCAAAGTAACTTAAAGGGGACCTATCATGCAAAATGCACTTTTGTACGTCTTTTCTACATGAATATGTGTCCCCGGTGTTCCAGGGAACTCACCAAGTGTCAGAAAACACAACCCTCTCTATTTTCCTCCATACCCAAATCTCTAAAAAAGGGGCTGCAACGGATCTGATAAAAACTGATCCAGATTTGAACACTGTCCTGACGTCAGGACGGTGGCGCTACGGCTATTGGGCCAACTCCACCAATCAGGAGGAGACAGCCACAGCCATTGCCGTTCGAAAGCGCTGGAGACGCTGTAGTACATATGCCAGGCCTGTAGGTGGTGCTGTTCTCACTGAATCTGCCCAGAGCTAGAAATTGTCAAATTGAGCGAAATGAGGCATGGCTAAAATGCATGATCTGTTTGGTATTTTGAAAAAAAAAAAGTATAAATATGCCTTATATAGGTATGGTCCTACACTATATTATTCAAATATAGCATGATAGGTCCACTTTAAGAAGTCAGATACTTGAATTTTGAATTTTTCTTTTAGTTACAATAAAGCAAAGAGATACACAATATACAGTAAGTAGGTACCCGAAAACTTTACATGGCGTACAAGAGAGAAAAAAAGCTGGGTATTACAATTGCTGAGAATAGTCTAAAGCTGCCAGTCGACAGCATCGTAGACATGAACAAAAAGCTCAAGTGCAGTTCTTGAATAACTACTTCAAACACCACCACCTTCTTTATCCCACAGAGTCTTTGTGCAACTAATGTCCTCTTTTTCTGTCCCTGGTCATGTAGATCCAGTGTCCCAGAACTCGTCCTTTTCCTACTCCCAGGAGGTGAGAGGGACGCAGCGCTCCCAGGCCTCCTCCCCAGGGGGCGAGTGCTCTCCTCGGCCCTCGGTGGTGGGGCGCACCGGCCAGAGAGCCAGTGGAGACGGACAGGATGGAGACGCAGCGTCCACCAGGTGTGTGTGTGTGTGTGTGTGCGTGTGTGTTTGTGTGTGTTGAAATAACAATGACAAGAAATAACAAGTATGAGTTCACAGGTCCTGCTCATAACCATTCATGATTTGGTTTCTAATTAATAGTTGTAGTTTAGATAAACCATTATAAAATGGCATTTAAAAACACTAATTTAAAAGCAAAGATAATAAAACATGACTAACAAAGGAACATGAATTAAAGTGACCGTGCAGTGTGAGATACACACATCTGAAATGTTTAGCTCAGACTCTCAATCATTGCTCACTTTTTTAGCAGTAATAGTTTTCTATGACCTCACTTTCTTTCTACTTTCTTTGTGTGGCGGCTGTGGCTCAGTGGATAGAGTGCTGGATTTTGAATCAGGGGATAGCAAGTTCAAACCCCACTGCAGTCAGCATGTCGTTGTGTCCCTGAGACACTTCACCCCAAATTGCTCCTGTGTGGATTGTCCACAGTATTGAGTATGTAAGTCGCTTTGGATAAAAGCGTCTAACAAGTGACATGTAATGTAATGTAATGTTAACTTATCCTTTAGTTATTTCAAGTGTTTCAAGCTAAACAAACCCCCCTTTGGAAAATTATAATCTGACCCCATGGTACCTTTAAGTTTCTGCCAAAAACTATTCCTCTTTTTTAAATGAACAAAGCTGAAAAAACAGGAAACTCCATTTTACTGTGTCAACACAGCTGAAAAATAAATAATTTCCTCACTTTGGGCACATCAGGTCTCGCTGTTCCTGCTGTCTAAGCCTTTCTTTATTTGCACGTCTTCAGCAATCACGTTGGCAGTGAGAGCAGAGATTAACTCAGTTTTCCTGCTGTCACACTTCTGAGGCACAAATGGAGTGTGTCTGCTGGTTGTAGCAATATCGTTTTGCTTTGATTCAGCATTGTTGTCAATTCTGTTCATCAGACTGTGAACTCAACACGATAGTCTTTTGCTTTTTGAGAAAAAACATTCAGTGGGATTTTTGTAGCTTTGATAATGACTAAATTGCTGGTGACACTTGCAGCTCTCACACTAAGATAAAGCGACGTGAGCGAGGCAGCGGAGGATTACATTATTATTTTGAATATGAACATCAACAGGAGCCCTCTAGCGGCTGGTCTGAAATATTCAAATATCACTTCTGATTTCCATGACGGGAGTTTTTAGGATCCATCCCTAAACAGCTCAATCAATCAATCAGTCAATCAATCAATCAATCAATCAACAACAAGGGACAATTAGTTATGAGCAGTTTACAGGAAGATTAATAGTTCATAGCATCACAATAAATAAGTAAGTAAATAAACAATCGAAACCTATCAAGAATTAAAAGGTTTGAGTGCAGAGGGGATGAATGATTTTGAAAAGCGATTTGTCTTAAAGGTCCCCTATTATACTGTTTTTCATCTATATATCACAGGTCTCAGATATATACAGAGCCTGTCTCTGATTGGCTGAAACACCAAACAGATCATTGCAGCATTACCCATAATCCCCTCTGTTTCAGCCCTGTTTCCAAAGTGCTGATTCTCTGTCTGTTACTTTAGATGAAAATAAGGAGCCCCTCCCCACGCCCCTCTGAGAGAGATTTGGTTAAAAAGAACACAATGGTGCTCTAGGAGGAGATTCAGGTGATAAGGTGGGGGGGGGGGGGTTACCTTGGTTGGTGATTGGCTAATGGTTACTCAAGACAAAACATCGTTATGACATCATAACGTGGCCAAAATCTGATCAGCTCATTTTCAGACAGGTTTTTATAAAAATGGATCAGGAGAAAAAGAGAGAGAATCTTTGTTCCTGAAACTTTCAGAGTCTCTTTACACAGAGGGGACACATGTTGATGAAGAAGAGACATGAAGAAGAGGGGACACATGTTGATGTAGAAGAGACATGGAGAAGAGGGGACACATGTTGATGTAGAAGAGACATGGAGAAGAGGGGACACATGTTGATGTAGATGAGACATGAAGAAGAGGGGACACATGTTGATGAAGAAGAGACATGAAGAAGAGGGGACACATGGTGATGTAGAAGAGACATGAAGAAGAGGGGACACATGTTGATGTAGAAGAGACATGAAGAAGAGGGGACACATGTTGATGTAGAAGAGACATGAAGAAGAGGGGACACATGTTGATGAAGAAGAGACATGAAGAAGAGGGGACACATGTTGATGTAGAAGAGACATGAAGAAGAGGGGACACATGTTGATGTAGAAGAGACATGAAGAAGAGGGGACACATGTTGATGTAGAAGAGACATGAAGAAGAGGGGACACATGTTGATGTAGAAGAGACATGAAGAAGAGGGGACACATGTTGATGTAGAAGAGACATGAAGAAGAGGGGACACATGTTGGTGTAGAAGAGACATGAAGAAGAGGGGACACATGTTGATGTAGAAGAGACATGAAGAAGAGGGGACACATGTTGATGAAGAAGAGACATGAAGAAGAGGGGACACATGTTGATGTAGAAGAGACATGAAGAAGAGGGGACACATGTTGATGTAGAAGAGACATGAAGAAGAGGGGACACATGTTGATGTAGAAGAGACATGAAGAAGAGGGGACACATGTTGATGTAGAAGAGACATGAAGAAGAGGGGACACATGTTGATGAAGAAGAGACATGAAGAAGAGGGGACACATGTTGATGTAGAAGAGACATGAAGAAGAGGGGACACATGTTGATGTAGAAGAGACATGAAGAAGAGGGGACACATGTTGATGTAGAAGAGACATGAAGAAGAGGGGACACATGTTGATGTAGAAGAGACATGAAGAAGAGGGGACACATGTTGATGTAGAAGAGACATGAAGAAGAGGGGACACATGTTGATGTAGAAGAGACATGAAGAAGAGGGGACACATGTTGATGTAGAAGAGACATGAAGAAGAGGGGACACATGTTGATGTAGAAGAGACATGAAGAAGAGGGGACACATGTTGGTGTAGAAGAGACATGAAGAAGAGGGGACACATGTTGGTGTAGAAGAGACATGAAGAAGAGGGGACACATGTTGATGTAGAAGAGACATGAAGAAGAGGGGACACATGTTGATGTAGAAGAGACATGAAGAAGAGGGGACACATGTTGATGTAGAAGAGACATGAAGAAGAGGGGACACATGTTGATGTAGAAGAGACATGAGGAAGAGGGACACATGTTGATGTAGAAGAGACATAAAGAAGAGGGGACACATGTTGATGTAGAAAAGACATGAAGAAGTGGATTTTGCATAATAGGTGACCTTAGATATTTGTCTTCCTCCAGTGGCAGCTCTCACAGAGGTGGAGCAGCAGTCCAGGCCCCCCCCCAGACCCCCCAGTCCCCCCAGTCTCCTGCAGATTTGGCCCACCTGGATCTTCCTGACCTGGGAGTGGAGGATGCTCTGGAGCTACAGCTACAGCAGCTCACTCTCGCTCAGTTCACCGTCACCACCATGCAACAAGCCATACCGCTGCTGAAAACAGGTGGGAGTTATTGTGGACTTTTATGTAAATGTATACAAACGAATGGTCTGTAATATCCAGCAGGGGGTGCCTCTAATTCCAAGATGAATTCATATTGTATAGAAGTCTATGGGAAAATGACCCTACTTCATTATTTCCTTTTTTTGGGTCTCACTTTTAGTTTCAAGTCTTCTTCAATACAGCATGTAGCACCTGAACATGTAAGAAGCCTAAAAATGTAATAAAATGTGCAATTAAAAAACAATAAACAGCTGGGTGTTAGTTGGACTTTTATGAAAAGGGAGCAATAATGTACGTCAATGATATAAACCAGTTCCCTCCGTCTGTTGTGGCTTGAGTTAGAATAGGATAAAGTACATATCTGGTTACGTGTTTTACGGTATTGACTGTATTCTGTCATTATATTATCTTTACAAATGTTCCAAAAACCAATATGGAGACGGCCAAAACGCCAATGCTTCTGACGTCACGTTGACTACATTTACATCCTGTTAGAAAAATCTCACTAGTCTCCGGCTTGAGCTTCAATCTCAGGATGCATGTATTCCTGACCCTCTCCAGAATGGAAGTAGTCATCACATACAGAGCATCAACTAGTTCCTGAACAGTGTCCTTCACATGCTGATATCTAAGAGAGGGAGTTACACAGTCACAAGATGAAGGAATACTGGTTCTTGTAGGTAATCATACATCCTGCCATGCACAGAATACTAAGTTTGTTCTCAAAATGTTGGCTTTTTTCTAAAAATCCTGAATTTTTCTCCAAACCTCCAAATTCTGACTTTCTCAAAATCAGATTTTTTTTTCACTTTCTCTCAAAATTCAGAATTTCTTTCAAAATGTTGACTTTTTCTCAAAATCTCAAAATGTTGAATTGTTCTCAAAATTCGGACTTTTTCTCACATTTCTGACTTTTTCTCACAATTCTGACTGTTTCTGAATACTTAAAAATGTTAATAAGCCCTCGTCACCGGCTTGAGCTTCAATCTCAGGATCCATGTATCTGTGATCCTCTCCAGAATGGAAGTAGTCATCACATACAGAGCATCAACTAGTTCCTGAACAGTGTCCTTCACATGCTGATATCCAAGAGAGGGAGTTACACAGTCACAAGATGGAGGAATAGAAAGCAGTATTCAATGTTTACTTCAGATTAGCTCCACGTCAGAAATGATCATGCTTGTCATGTGTCTATCTCCATAGAGGCTGAATCATCATGTTAATCACATAGCTATCATATGCCTCAAACAGTCCTGATGCTCTTCTAGGTAATCACACATCCTGTCATGTTCACAGCTACAGTTGGGATACCTTTGTTATCATGTTACTCTCATATTAGAAGAGGACATTCAGTATTTTCACAACACTTCCTACACTCAGTCTGCATCTCCTTCTCAGTTTCCTCTCTCCTCCTCTCTTCTCTCCCAGAGGTTTCTCACGTGTTTCACCGTGTGTTGGAGCTGCTGAGCGACGGCGTGCTCCTGCTCGGGGACAGCGTCTGCGAGCTGGTGTGGGACGACCGCAGCCTGGTGGGGACGGAGCTGGCAAGTCAAAACACGACTCATGACAAAGCCTCTTATGTAGATGAATGGATACACTTCACTGAAGGGGTGGGGGTGTGGGGGTTTGTTGGCCACCAGACAATTTGCCAGCGACACACAGGCATACGGTGCTTCACTGTCAAGTGTAGGCATGTGATGGAGCTGAATGAATTATATAAAGCTACAAAGGGCTTCACAAGCATTCACACCTCTCATCTGAATCAATGTTGGGTTTGTTAATGTCTCCATTTACACATGGTGTTTCTTTAACACAGTTTCATCCCACAGGCCATAAGACTGTTAAACACCTGAACTTTTAAAAGAACATCCATAACATTAATCTTTTTGCAACTCATATAAATATTCCAATTACTTGTATATAGACTATTCTGCACTATTTCTACTATATTCTATTTTATTTCATTGTGTTGCACTGTTGGAGGACTTAGTGACCTAAGATGTTCATTGTCATAACTACACTGTAGCTATGTACAAATGACACCTTGTTAAGTGTAGGCACGTGATGTACAAAGAGCTTCACATGCATGCACACCTCTCATCTGAATCAATGTTGGGTTAGTTAATGTCTCCGTTTACACATTGCATGGTGTTTCTTCAACGCACACAGGCATTTGTTATCCTCCCTGACTGTAAAGAGTGTGTGTTCCTATGCGAGGGGACACATACACTTGTCAGGGCCCGGCCCCTGTGGCCTTCTGCTGTTTAAAACATGCCCAGAGTTCGCAGCCTGAGAACTGGTTTGTCATCTTTTATGTGGAGAGCAGCTTTGGCGTGCCAGACCTTGAGGTTTTTCCTCTGGGACTCGGACAAAACTGTTCTCACCAGCCGCAGCAATGCACAGGACATCTACTGCCCCCTGCTGGTGGAAACAGTCCTTTGTTTAATTTCTCCTCCCTGGAACAAAGTGTCTGAGAATAGATTGTTCCAATTTATTCAGACTGAGATAGCGTGGATCTGTATCTCGTCCTAAAATAACCCTGAAATCTGATTACATTCAATTCCTAACCCCTGGAACGAGCCATTTTTCTCCTGGCTCGCAGCCAGAAGCTGTGTGTGTCTGACTGTGTCTGACTGTGTGTGTGTCTGACTGTGTGTGTGTGTCTGACTGTGTGTGTGTGTGTCTGTCTGACTGTGTGTGTGTGTGTGTGTGTGTGTGTGTGTGTGTGTATGTGTGTGTGTGTGTGTGTGTGTGTGTGTGTGTGTGTGTGTGTGTGTGTGTGTGTGTGTGTGTGTGTGTGTGTGTGTGCTGTGTGTGTGTGTGTGTGTGTGTGTGTGTGTGTGTGTGTGTGTGTCTGACTGGTGTGTGTGTGTGTGTGTCTGACTGTGTGTGTCTGACTGTGTGTGTGTGTGTGTGTCTGACTGTGTGTGTCTGACTGTGTGTGTGTGTCTGACTGTGTGTGTGTGTGTGTGTGTGTGTCTGACTGTGTGTGTGTGTCTGACTGTGTGTGTGTGTGTGTCTGACTGTGTGTGTGTGTGTGTGTGTCTGACTGTGTGTGTGTGTCTGACTGTGTGTGTGTGTGTCTGTCTGACTGTGTGTGTGTGTGTGTGTGTGTGTGTGTGTGTGTGTGTGTGTCTGACTGTGTGTGTGTGTCTGACTGTGTGTGTGTGTGTGTCTGACTGTTGTGTGTGTGTGTGTGTGTGTGTGTGTGTGTGTGTGTGTCTGACTGTGTGTGTGTGTGTCTGACTGTGTGTGTGTGTCTGACTGTGTGTGTCTGACTGTGTGTGTGTGTGTGTGTGTCTGACTGTGTGTGTCTGACTGTGTGTGTGTGTCTGACTGTGTGTGTGTGTGTGTGTGTGTGTGTGTGTGTGTGTCTGACTGTGTGTGTGTGTCTGACTGTGTGTGTGTGTGTGTCTGACTGTGTGTGTGTGTGTGTCTGACTGTGTGTGTGTGTGTGTGTGACTGACTGTGTGTGTCTGTTACTGTGTTTGTCTGCTGTGCTTTTGTCTTCATTTCTGTCTCTCTGTGTGTGTGTGTGTGTGTGTGTGTGTGTGTGTGTGTGTGTGTGTGTGTGTGTGTGTGTGTGTGTGTGTGTGTGTGTGTGTGTGTGTGTGTGTGTGTGTGTGTGTGTGTGTGTTGGTGTGTGTGTGTGATGTGTGTGTGTGTGTGTGTGTGTGTGTGTGTGTGTGTGTGTGTGTGTGTGTGTGTGTGTGTGTGTGTGTGTGTGTGTGTGTGTGTGTGTGTGTCTGACTGTGTGTGTGTGTGTGTGTGTCTGACTGTGTGTGTGTGTGTGTGTCTGACTGACTGACTGTGTGTGTGTGTGTGTTACTGTGTTTGTCTGCTGTGCTTTTGTCTTCATTTCTGTCTCTCTGTGTGTGTTCCCTTTTTAGAAGCAGAAGCTGCAAGCCTGCATGGAGCTATTGGGGGAAATCCTCAGCTACCATCAGAGCTCTTCATCAGATATTCCCCGCAGCGCTCAGGTTCATCACAGGATGGCATACACAAGCGTCTCTATATTCACCATCAAACTCCTGCAGACCATCCTCCCTCCTGAGAAGGTGTGTGTGTACCTTTGAGCAAATCACAACATAGTGGAAAGCACCTTTAGCGATCAAAAGACTGATTAGCTATCAAAAGATTAATAACCACACACATGCTGTTTAAATAATCCGCTTACAGTGTTCATTTTGAGACTTAACATATGGAAATGTACACAGTAATTATATACTTTTTCAACTTTATTGCCATGAAACTGTATTTTTCTTTCAAGCCTAATTTAAAATGGAGAAATTTACTGAAACTGGTGCAAAGCTGATGCCTATTAGCCTATAATCACTACTGAAATCACTGTTTTTGTACAAAGCACAATACTATTTTAGGCTTTAGAGGTCAGTAAGCTATACTTTATATACAGTACTGTACTCTATGTTACGCTGTATTTAATTTATACTTGGCAAAGCAATTTTATAAGCATTTCAAACAATCAGGCGATTCAGTAATATCTTATATGTGTGTTTCAATTCTCAATATTAATGCCGTAAATATAAAAATATTAATTAGACGGTAATCCTGAGGAGATATAATGAAAATTATAAATATATTAATTTGTTTATATTATCAATTTGACTCTGACAGTCTCCACTGTACTTTCCCTTTTAATTTCTTTGTGATTACTTTACCTAAACTCCAGAGAAAGGTTTTTAATTAAGGTTTCTCCTCCTCACACAGGCTGGTGAACATCTCCCAGAAAGCACAGCAACCGCTATTTTCCACCTGTGCTTGGACACGTCGTTGGGGAGTTTATTACCCAGCATGCACCAGGCAGCGGCGGCCTACCTGGAGCAGGTGAACACCGACAGCCACGACCTCTACAGGAGGGTGAGCCGTGCCGCCCTCTGGATGGAGTCCACCTGCAACTTCATGAAGGAAACACAAGCTGAGGTAAGTCACTTATTTAAAGTCAACACAAGCAGCTCTGCAGGGAATATTTCCACAGATAAACAACCTGCTTCCTTGAGGGAATACTTCACCCACAAGAGGATCTTTGGATATCAACTTCACCCCCTGTGCAACCTTGAATTGTAGAAGAAGACTTGGAACAAAGAATAAGAAACTGGAAAAAACTTCATGAATCGAAGACGTGTTCTCACTACTATTCAAACATATTCATTTTTGCTTAGGTGAGACGTTAAACAGTAAGGTTTTGCTGGGTATTTAGAAGACGTGAGCACAACTGGGGGGGGGCCTGGACTGCTGCTCCACCTCTGTGTGAGCTGCCACTGGAGGAAGACAAATATCTAAGGTCACCTATTATGCAAAATCCACTTCTTCATGTCTTTTCTACATCAACATGTGTCCCCTCTTCTTCATGTCTCTTCTACATCAACATGTGTCCCCTCTTCTTCATGTCTCTTCTACATCAACATGTGTCCCCTCTTCTTCATGTCTCTTCTAAATCAACATGTGTCCCCTCTTCTTCATGTCTCTTCTACATCAACATGTGTCCCCTCTTCTTCATGTCTCTTCTACATCAACATGTGTCCCCTCTTCTTCATGTCTCTTCTACATCAACATGTGTCCCCTCTTCTTCATGTCTCTTCTACATCAACATGTGTCCCCTCTTCTTCATGTCTCTTCTACATCAACATGTGTCCCCTCTTCTTCATGTCTCTTCTACATCAACATGTGTCCCCTCTTCTTCATGTCTCTTCTACATCAACATGTGTCCCCTCTTCTTCATGTCTCTTCTACATCAACATGTGTCCCCTCTTCTTCATGTCTCTTCTACATCAACATGTGTCCCCTCTTCTTCATGTCTCTTCTACAACTGAATAAATATGACTTGAATTTTAGTGCACGAGATGCCAGAGAGACTTAGTTAATGGATATCTTCATATAGATTCTTAAAAACCACATTTTAGCAAGACTTTTCTCAATTTTTTACATTTTGTTCTCCGTTGAGACATGCAAAGAACTAGCTTTTCTTCAAGAATTAAAGGGTGAATAATTGATATCCAGCTGCTCATTGTCGGCATGAAGTATTCCTCTAAATCAAAAACCACTCTTGCACACATTCACCTGTCACTAACCTGTTTCACCCCCTGTGCAACCTTGAATTGTAGAAACTAAGAACAAAGAATAAAACACTGGAAAAACTTGACATGAATTGAAGACGTGTGCTCACTACTTTTCAAACATATTCATTTTTACTCAGGTGAAGTGTTAAACAGTAAGGTTTTGCGTAGTATTTAGAAGATGTGAGCATACAACTGAATAAATATGACTTGAATTTGAGTGCATGAGATGCATGAGACTTAATTAACGGATGTCTTCATTCTTAAAAACCTCAATTCAGCAAGACTTTTCTCAATTTTTAACATTTTGTTCTCCGTTGGGACATGAAAAAAATAGCCTTTCTCCAAGAATTGTAGAAGAAAACTTGAAAAAAGATAAAAAACTCGACATTAATCGAAGACGTGTTCTCACTACTATTCAAACATATTCATTTGTTAATGATATATATATCTATATTGTCATATAGATTCTTAAAAACCACATTTTAGCAAGACTTTTTAACATTTTGTTCTCCGTTGAGACATGCAAAAAACTAGCAACCACAAGAGGATCTTTGTATATCAACTTCAACGCCTGTGCAACCTTGAATTGTAGAAGAAAACGTAGAAAAAATAATACAAAAAACGACATGAATTGAAGACGTGTGCTCACTACTTTCTAAACATATTCATGTCTGCTTAGGTGAAGTCTTAAAAACCTAATTTCAGCAAGACTTTTCTACATTTTGGTTCTCCGTTGAGACGTGAAAAAACTAGCTTTTCTCCAAGAATTCAAATGATGAGTAATTGATAAACAACTGCTCATCGTAGGGATGAAGTATTGCTCTAAATCAAAAACTACTCTTGCACACATTCACCTGTTGAGCCCATCGCTCATATTGGCGTTGTATATCTTCACTAATGGATTCATCTCTTCACAAAGGGAGAGAAGAACTGGTTGGAGTTGCTGGAGCTGGCAGACCAGGCGATAAACGGCCTCTCGCTGCACCAACACCTCCCCATCATCAAGGAGTGTGTCCACATCTGCTCTCACCTGTACGTTCAAACCTCACAATGTGAAGAATCACAATCAGAATACCTTGATGAGTCCCACAGAGGGGACATGTACATTGTTACAGCAGATAAAACATTTACAAAATACACATCCTGTAACAGTTCTGAGGGTTTAGCAGCCAGGTATATATTGCACAGTTATTAACGGCATCTATATATATTGCACATATTGCACATAAGAGATAAGACTTATTCATCCCAAAGGAAATTGTTGTGCCAGAGTAACAAAAACGCAATAAACACAGCAGTAAAACTGTCCACTAACAGAGCAGTAAAAAGAGCAATTAAATATCTACAGGAAACATAGACGGTCCCATCATTAGTGTAAATATTACCAGTATTTAGTATTGCAAAACAAACCGTAATTGCACGTTATCATAGCACATTATTAATAATAAAAATAATATTGCACGTTATATATGTTGTGTTTTGTAATGATGGTAATGATATTGATATTGCACGTAGTGTTGAAGTTCCCAGTTCCCTTTCTATTTTTTATTTTCATTAACAAATGTTAGTAATTTAGTTTTTGGGAGAACGGGTGGGATTAAATAAGTGTAAACTTCTTCCCACCCCTTTTCAGATGTGTAATTAAGTAGATTATTTGTTTATACATCATTTACAATCAGTCATATTTGTGTATATCAATTTGACACTGATTCATTTTGTATAAATATAATAATTCTCATGTTACATTTTTGTATTATTGTTTTACACATTCGAAATAAATCAAATCAAAGAACTATTGCACATAGTTGGTTGGTATTTAACAACAAGGGGGTTATAATCTGTGTTATTGTGTGTGTGTGTGTGTGTGTGTTATATAGTCAAGTCATTGCAGGTGTATTTCATGCATGCTTTAATTCCTGTGGTTGTCCATCACTAGGTGGACGTTTGATGATCCCAGCCCCCTCCTTCAAAGAGAGAGCCAGAAACTCCTCCTGAAGCTTCTGTCCCATCCCTTACTGCCTGTCAGAGCGGAAACATACCAATGCACTCTACGCCTGGCCAAGGTCAGAACAACCATCTAACAAGCACTTACATTCAGGTTCATGGATGAAATAACGGCCTCTAAAGCAGCTTGCTGGGGAACCCATATGTAAATAAGCCGATATATGAAGATGGATGAATGTGTGACAGCGAGCGATAAAAAAAACCCCCCCCACTTGACATTTGAAATCAGACTTGCTTTTTTCGTTTTCTTTACTAACCACCATCTGGAGTACACGGCTACATTTTAAAGTGAATTGGAACTGGAGAGGATGGCGATAATTTATGATGTGCTTTGGTGTGATTACATACACCCTTAGGACTGCCTCGGCATCCAGAATGTGGCACGAAAGGAAGTGGCGGCCTGCGGCGGACTCAACTTCCTTATCCACCACAGGGTGCTCTACGAAATCACTGCTTTCGGACTCCAGGATTCTGCAGAGAAGGTACGCTAACACCTGTTTCTCCACAGAAGCAATTAGACTTCTAGACCTTCTGGAGCATCTTGCTTCTGGCCACTTCTTATATAATAATATTCCTGCCATCTACACCTGAGTTATTCATTTACTTGATATGTGTACATTATAATATACCATTTCATTTCCTGTTGTATCCCCATTTGTAAGCGTTGTCTGCCGAAAGCTGCCATAAATTGACTTATTTATCCAGTTTAAAGCCGGTTTTTACCGTACACTTTTTACATTTTGGTGGTTTTTAACGCTATCTTTCAACGGGATAAAGGATTTGAGTCATCTCCCATCTGTATCTTGAGAATCAAGCTGAGCAAATGTTAGCTATTAGCTCGCACATCACCCAATATCCGTTGTCTCATGAATAGTATTGGACACAAAACACAGATTTTACTTTAGTAGTTTTACTGGTTTACTCACGGATGTTTACTGCGGATAATTATGCTCCTGATAAATACCTCCTAAACTATGAACAAGCCGAGTGCCATGACAACTCCCATGATCCCATGCTACTTCCCAACGCCACCAAAATGTATTTGATTGAGACCCCTAGTGGCAGAACATTACATCCATTCAATGTGTTGGGTCAAGGTTGAACCAAATGCATCTAATCAAACACAAGTACTCAATAGATTTCTATGTGCTTTTTAAAAGTTATTGTACATGACTTTAAGCTCATGATAAAGCGTCAGGGATGACCGGTGTCATGTAGTTTAAACGTCTGTCACTTTCATCACTCGCTGGTAAATGTTTTGTCAGCAGTGTCATTGTGAATTCAGCAGTTTACCTGTGATCTATAGGTGAACGTCGCCGCCAAGGATATCCTGCTATTCGTGCTCAAAGGACGATTGATGATGACAGCATCCACCTGGGACAGATTCAACGAGGCACTTCACCCGGTCATGCCCGTGTTACAGGTCTGCTCTCTTCAGAAGTCGTAGTTGTAGGTTTGGAGCTGATTATATTTCTCGAGCTGCAGGAAGTGTCGCATGTTCTCCACAAAACAACGATGATCAAAAGTTCAATTTTAGCCACAAAGACGGCATATTGAGCTGCCAGTGAGAAGGATGTAGTTATTCCCTCATTTACATATTCTGTGTTGTATTGTTTTCATTTTTGGGTGGGAAAAAAAGCTTTTATTAATTGCATAACAGTTTCAGGCAACAGAGAGCCTGGAAACACTTCATGAATATACATGAGAGTTTGACTACGCTGTCAAGTGTGATTCAATTCAAGGAGGCCATTCAGAGATGGGCTGCCATGTCAACAGGAGACGAAATGAAACCAGCCATAATCAAAGCGATGCATATTTCATTTACTGTTGGGCTGCTTTGCCGGAATTCCCCATTGTTCGGTGCATTGTCTGCCAAAGCTCTCTGAGAATTGACTGTGTGTGTGTGTGTGTGTGTGTGTGTGGCAGGGCTATGCCGGCACTGAAGACTCGCTGGGAAACTGTGTCCTGCTGATAAGTGACATGTCGGACGTGTTTCCAAGCAAAGCCAAGTTGAAAGCAGCGCTGCGACTCCTTTTCACTAAACAACCCACGTGAGTCTGGGCTCCTTTGTTGTTTATTTGTGTCTCTCTGGGTTTATTTGTGTTTGGAAACAGGCATGTGATGATATGCCTCTTCTGCATGTTTGATGTTTGACAGGGTTTTTTTTTATGCACCAGATAAACTCCTGGAGGTCTTAATATTCTGGGTTACAACACGTAAAAGTGATGGACATATTACCACTGTCTGTCCCTGTCTGCTGATGTTCTTATCAAGTCATTTCAGTTCTTTGTGAGGCCTCAAACATCCAGTCCCAGCCTATGAATATTGATAGAGATTTAAATGAACCCCGGCCGTGAGACAAGCCCTGGTCAATTCTTGCGAAAGCACTTAATTTGCCCTGCCTCATGTTCTTTGAAAACCATTTGGATGTTGTGTCCAAAAAACCTCAAAGGAAGGTTACACTTTCGACCCAATGCAGACAAAAGTCTCTTTGCCTCATCTCTCTGTTTTAAAACATTAGGGTTTTTGAATTCATTATTTAACTCCCAAGTTTGACATAATGTCTGCTTGTTATTTAACAGTGTGAGAATAGCAGCAGTGCAACAAATCCTGCCCCACTTAAAGAGCCATGATGAGGCTGATGCAGCCAGACCAGAGCTGGACCAATCAGTGCTCTCGTCTCTACCGAACCTCTTCTGCCTCCGACAGCCTGCAGACGTCTCGCTGGACACCTGCAACAAGTCTGTCCTCAAGGTATACAAACATGAACAAACATGTACACACACAGACTAACATATACACTTCTGATTGATTCAACTGCTGATTATTTTCTTAATTGGTCGATTAATCGTTTGGTGTATGACATGTTAGAATATATTGAAACATATCCATGTAGTTTCTCAAAATGCAAAGTTATATCTTTCTTTGTCAGTCCAAAACACCCACAAATATTCACTTTAACATTAAATTAAACTGATTTTAAGGAGTAAATCTTTATATTTGAGGCTTAAATACTGAATTTTCTGATACTGTTGCTCGATCAATTCCTTTAACGATTGACCAATATTATGAAAATAGTCATTCAATCTTTTTTGGTGTTCTTTTCCAACCCCTAAAAGTGTTTTTTGGTGGCTAGGTGGAGTCGGTGGAGAAGCTGTCTGGTCTATAACATTTTAAAATATATTGTAAAATATCCATCCCTAGTTTCTCAAAATCCAGAAACCTCACCTCAAAACCCACAAAATATTCACTTTAATACTAAATAAAACTGATTAAAGCAGTACATCTTTATATTTGAGCCCTAAAAACACAATTTTCTGACGTTTTTGCACAATCAATTCCTTTACCGATTGATCAAATATTACTTTCTGTCAATCTACTATTCACTGCATCCCCTAAATGTGTTTTTTGGTGGCTAGGTGGAGTCGGTAGAGAAGCTGTTTGGTATCCTGTCCTCGGACACTGTTGACATCTCCCTGAAAAGATCGGCAGGGGAGCAACTGTCTGTCGTGCTGCAAGGTGAGATATCTGTGAAGAATGCTGTCTTTAATATACAGTATTGTTTTCAAATACATTTACAAGCTAACATGTCTACCACTGTGCATTAGTATCTCTAACAGTGCTCAGGGAGAGGCATTTTAATGAGAAACAAGCACCTATGACTCAGGGATAGTGTACAAGTAGACTGACAATTCACATCCTGATTCTCGCTGATTTGAGGATATCAGGTTTGATAATAGGTACGTTTTAAAAATGCCTAAACAGATTTCTAGATATCATTTTATGGACTTGATAAAAACAATTCTTAAAGTGTGTGCAATAAGTGAGAACTCTGCTTGTGAAATGTATTTTTGTAACAAATGCCGCAGTGTGTTCCCTCCCACCACCATATGTCTTAGGAGGAGCAGAAAAAGCATAGAGTGTATGATTATGCAAATGCTTTCTGTGGGTATATTGAATGTTCTGCTTGCTTCCCTGCAGACACAACAATGCACCCGGTGCTGAAGAATCTGGGAATAACAGACAAAGTCATTTCTTTCATTGTGGGGAGTGTAAACGGCAACAAGGTAAAAAAAACAGAACAATCTGTGATCGAGTTTCTGTTGAAGCCAATTGAAAGAAAGCCTGTATCTCATGAGATGCACTTCCATGTCCTTGTTTGAGGTGTTGGAAAGTCAGTGATGCGTGCATGATGAAGGGTGAAGTGGCCTGCTTTAATAGTGTCAGACAGAAGGGATGTTTGCCCTGTAGTTACTGCTGATCATTCGCAGGCCTTGAATCAGAGGGCGTGCGCTAACAGCTAATCGTGCAGCATGTGTGTTTACATGGAGGGTAAAAGTGAAGGAAACAAGGCCACAGAGAAGGACTTGTCTCACATAACAAGTGTTGATGTCTGCAGGTCCTGTTTGTCCCTCCATCGCCTGAAACATGAGCAATCAGGGGACGTTTATTTCGCTTATGGGAAGTTGGCATGGGCGATGAAAATGTCATGTCACCGTTATGCAGGCCAGGAAAACTTGCCAGGAGTAATTATCCCATTTATTAGCAAAGTAATGCTTAATTGATGAAGATTATTTATCAGTAATTTATAGATTTTAGGAGCTAAATAAATACATTTTGTTTGCATTTTCACATTTAAATCAACAGAGCACTGCTTTTACTTTGATGTTGTGCCACATTCCTTCTTATGTACACATCTTTGCATCAAAATAAGACTCAAAATAAGGTTATTTTCACGTGATTCAATGCCTTTTTAGTTTTGCCTGTCTGCTCTTTGTTATAAGTTACTCACATGTCAATATTGCTGTAATACAATTGTATGAATGCATAAAAGATAGGACACATAGTTAATAGAGAACATGCTTTTGGTGGAAAACAATATTAAAGATCCCCTGCATGAATACAGAAAATGTCTTTCTTGCATGATAATTCCTATGTTTTTAATTCTCAACCATGACCCTGTGCTTCTGAGCAGGAGTAGACGGAGAGGGAGAATATGTTTGTTTGTGTTTACCCTGCAATTAAACAGTGTGTGTGTGTGTGTGTGTGTGTGTGTTCCTCCTCAGAGCGCAGACTGCCTGCTGGAGCCGTGTGTGTGTATCCTGAGGAAGTTAGTGTACGCTGATCCGTCTCTGAGACACAGCCTGGCTCAGCGCAGCCTCCTGCTGCTCACACTGGTCAGGGGTACGTTCACAACACAACATCTTAAAGGTCCCCTATTATACTGTTTTTCATCAATATATCACAGGTCTCAGATATATACAGAGCCTGTCTCTTTTACCTTAGTTGCTGATTGGCTAATGGTTACACAAGCCAAAACATCGTTATGACATCACAAAGTGACCAAAATCAGCTCATTTTCAGACAGGTTTTTATAGAAATGGATCAGGACAAAAAGAGAGAGAATCTTTGTTCCTGAAACTTTCAGAGTCTCTTTCCACAGAGGGGACACATGTTGATGTAGAAGAGACATGAAGAAGAGGGGACACATGTTGATGTAGAAGAGACATGAAGAAGAGGGGACACATGTTGATGTAGAAGAGACATGGAGAAGAGGGACACATGTTGATGTAGAAGAGACATGAAGAAGAGGGGACACATGTTGATGTAGAAGAGACATGAAGAAGAGGGGACACATGTTGATGTAGAAGAGACATGAAGAAGAGGGGACACATGTTGATGTAGAAGAGACGTGAAGAAGAGGGGACACATGTTGATGTCGAAGAGACGTGAAGAAGAGGGGACACATGTTGATGTAGGAGAGACATGAAGAAGAGGGGACACATGTTGATGTCGAAGAGACATGAAGAAGAGGGGACACATGTTGATGTAGAAGAGACATGAAGAAGAGGGGACACATGTTGATGTAGAAGAGACATGAAGAAGAGGGGACACATGTTGATGTAGAAGAGACATGAAGAAGAGGGGACACATGTTGATGTAGGAGAGACATGAAGAAGAGGGGACACATGTTGATGTCGAAGAGACATGAAGAAGAGGGGACACATGTTGATGTAGAAGAGACATGAAGAAGAGGAGACACATGGTGATGTAGAAGAGACATGAAGAAGAGGAGACACATGGTGATGTAGAAGAGACATGAAGAAGAGGGGACACATGTTGATGTAGAAGAGACGTGAAGAAGAGGGGACACATGTTGATGTAGAAGAGACGTGAAGAAGAGGGGACACATGTTGATGTAGAAGAGACATGAAGAAGAGGGGACACATGTTGATGTAGAAGAGACATGAAGAAGAGGATTTTGCATAATAGGTGACCTTTAAAAGAAGCTTTAAACGGTATGTTGTTTAGCGCAGGGGGGCTCATTCTCAGAAAACAAAAGATGGCCATCATCCATTGATACATAGCATTTAGCCATGGCGTCACACTGCAGTAAGTGGGATGTTAGCACGATGCAACTTGTTCCCATTACTCTAATATCTGCATCATTCGTATCTAAATTGTGACACGGTAGCATTTTATATTTTAGCTAGGTACTCACATTGTGTAATGGGCTGGTAGTTTGATAATTAAAAGGTAATATCATGTAATTAATTTGTAAATAGTCTAATGTTTTCTTTACATTAAGTGTGTCCAGGTAACAAGTCCTGTATTAAACACAATTTATACAATTCTACCCTGAAACAAATACAATAATTACCTCTTTATTATAAAGTTATTATCAAGTGCTACATCGGAGACATTTCATTTGTATTATAACATCGTGATTGTATTTTTGTATATTGTACGTTCATATTCTGTTTGAGACAGAGAAATATGTGCCAGTTTTTATACATAACAAACTCCTTTAAGTATTTGTAACTCTAATGCAATTCAAAATGTTATTATATATACATTATTTAAACAGTTTTTGTTATTTAAATTGTCTATTTCATGTCTTAATTACAGCATCGTTGATATTAAAGGAGAACAAAGGCAATGGGAATGAGATTTCTGTCCTGATGAGTTTACTGCTATTTGATGAGATTGCCAGCATTGAAACATGGTGAGTTTATGTTTTATCTCACGGAGCCTTAATGCCTCTAAAATGATATATGCATCCATTAAATATGTTGTTTTTTGTGTCATATCAGGTCGGACAACACGGATGTGACGCTCACACCGTTCTCCCTTCCTCTGTCGGTAATACGCAGGTAACGTTTATTGAAGTAAATGTATCATTAAAGGTGGGGTAGGTAATTCACTTCAGAAACACTTGTTGTTATATTCCATGGAATGCTCTTAACATCCAGATAGCAATGAATATATTAAATGCTTTGACAATAAATACATAAAAATATGTCATCTGTGGAAGCCGTAGTACTGTAAAAAGCACGACCAATCATCTGAGCCGGCCCGGCTAAAATAACTGGATGGCCTACCTGCCTGTCAGCCTTCCATCTGTGCACAAACTTATCTCGTGCCCTCATTGGTCATGTGCGCGTTCGTGTGTGTTGGAGGAGGGGCTCATTGAGGAAGTCTGAAGGAAGGGGCAGATTTTTTTTACGGTTGTGTATTTTCAAATTCTAGCGCACTCGAGCTGGCCATCCAGTTATTTTAGCCGGGCCGGCTCAGATGATTGGTCGTGCTTTTTACAGCGCCACGGCTTCCACAGATGAATTTTTTTATGTATTTATTGTCAAAGCATTTAATTTATTCATTGCTATCGGGGTGTTAAGAGCATTCCATGGAATATAAAAAAAAGTTTTTCTGAAGTGAATTACCTACCCCACCTTTAACATATGAAATAAATAAGTACGTAAGTGAACATATAAAAGTTGTGAAATAGCACCTAGTAATAAACAATAATACATCTTGGAGAAATAATGTCTGTATTGCAGGTAAGAGTTATTTTTACACAATTTCTGACCTAAATGTCCTTTTGAGTGTAAAAAGTGTATTTTCTGTTGCATGTGTTCAGATCTAGTAATCATTTGCTTGTGCTAGATTCTATCCTTTCCGAATGAAATAGATTTTATACATTACAAACGCCTTCAAGTATTTGTAACTCTAATGCAATTCAAAATGTTATTATATATACAAAGTCAAGTCAAAGTCAACTTTATTGTCAATTTGTCAGTTCGTGTGTACGAGAGAGACATCGAAATACCGTTTCCCACAATCCAGAATACAAAAATACAAATATATATAAAAATATGTATATCCTATATATATACACAATCAACAGACACTAAGATAAAAACACAACAATCAATATATACAAACACCTTAAGTATTTGTAACTCTAATGCAATTAAAGCTTTAGGGTGTGTTTGTTCTTTAAACTGTTCTTAATTACTTTTAGACTTTTTTGACTTTATTAAATAACAAAACTTTAATTTAAACTTCTATCATTTGTTCATTTCTTACCAAACAGGTTGTTTTTGTGTGGAATTTCCTCCACAAAGTTTTCTGTAAATGTGACTTTCCCTTTCCTCTCATCAACGACCCTAAGTGTTAGAAAAAAAATCAACAACTTTCTCTTAAACGCACTTTGTTTTAACATATTTATATCCATTGAATTGAAATAAGTGGAAGTAGAATAAGTCATAAGTGCTGTTGTAAATCAATTTGGGGGAAAAACTCTGATATTGGAAGAGTACATTGAGTATTTTCCCAACACTAAGCTATATAAATTCACCCAAATGTCCTCCCAGGTACAACATCCCGTTCCAGGCGGGATCTCATCACGCTGTCAGCCCGTTTTGCTGCGTCCTCCCTCCCTTTATCGACCTCCTGACCTTCCCCCCCGCTCGCCTCGCCCTACAGCTGGCCTGGAACACCGCATGGCATTCTGGGATAGATAACCTCCTGGAGAAGCTGCATGGCGTCTCTACGGATGAGTAAGAATCATCTTAGTTTAATACGTGTGAGGTGGGAAGTACAAATACTTCGTTACTGTACTTAAGTACATGTTTCTGGTATCAGTACTTTACTCCACTACTTACTTTTCTGAGGACTTTTTACTTTGACTTCTTACATGTTGAACTCAAATACCTGTACTTTCTACTTCTTACATTTTGAACACAAATACCTGTACTTTCTACTTCTTACACTTTGAACACAAATACCTGTACTTTCTACTTCTTACATTTTGAACACAAATACCTGTACTTTCTACTTCTTACATGTTGAACACAAATACCTGTACTTTCTACTTCTTACACTTTGAACACAAATACCTGTACTTTCTACTTCTTACATGTTGAACACAAATACCTGTACTTTCTACTTCTTACACTTTGAACACAAATACCTGTACTTTCTACTTCTTACATTTTGAACACAAATACCTGTACTTTCTACTTCTTACATGTTGAACCCAAATACCTGTACTTTCTACTTCTTACATGTTGAACACAAATACCTGTACTTTCTACTTCTTACATGTTGAACACAAATACCTGTACTTTCTACTTCTTACATGTTGAACACAAATACCTGTACTTTCTACTTCTTACATTTTGAACACAAATACCTGTACTTTCTACTTCTTACATGTTGAACCCAAATACCTGTACTTTCTACTTCTCACATTTCCCAAACAGACTGGTTCCTTTAGTTTGAATGTGTGTTTGGTGGCGTGATCATTATTATTTAGAGTCATTGCGTGCCTATTGATTTGAACACGATCCGTGTATCCATCATTTCCTGGTCTTCTCTAAAGAAGAGGGACCAATGAAAACGTTGTCATGTTGCCGTTGTTCAGCATGGAAACATTCATTAGCTAACAATGACATTATTGTTCTATTAATATAAAGGGAGGTCAGGTACTCTTTAAAACAGCTGCTAGTTATGGGTACTTTTTACTGAAGTACATTTCAAAGCCTCTTTACTTTTACTTGAGTAAAGAAGTTTAGTCAGTACTTCTACTTTCACCAGAGTATTTTTAAACACAAGTATCTGTACTTCTACTTGAGTAAAGGATGTGTGTACTTTTGCCATCTCTGGTGAGCAGTGAGCAAAGTCTTATCTGATGAGAGATGATTGGAGACAGAGATTGAGAGAACATGGTGTGAAACTGAACAGAATACTAAGTCCAAAGCAGGGGATTTTAATCAAAGTAAAATCACTTTTATATTACGCTCTCCGTCTCTAGGAGAGAATTGTAGTAAAAGAATGAGTTTCAGCATCTTGGCTATCGTCTGTCTTCATTTACCTCTAATGTGACCTAACTCAAAAAGATGGCAATGTCTCTCACACTGTTTTTAACCAGCTTGATTACAGGAAAGACTTTTAAAGCACACCAAAGATGGATCAATCTACTAACTTTCGTGCGATGAGTGCTTTTTAAAGATGAATTAGTCAGAGAATATTGAGAGGTATCCTCCTTTTTATCTCCGTCCCTATCTCTTGTGATATTATTGTGTCTTATTACTAAAGTTTTTCACCTTGTTTTGACAGTTTTCTTGAGTATGTCTTGTCGATTCCTCTGCTGCTCTTTGGATGACTCATAAATGTCTCCTCCCTCTAGATTGGTGATCAAATCTGTTTGTTAATGCGGTCATTAGTATGCCGAGGACGCTACTTATGCAACACAGTTGTCAACACATCAATATTTACTGAGGCACCTTTATTATCTCTCGCTGTAACTCAAAAATCAGATTGACAAATATTTTTGTTATTATTACTTAAAATGATAAATCATTGACTTTGGAAATGTATTAATTACATGTTTAACATAATATGCATTTAATTAAACTGAAACATATTTAAATTAACACATAAGAAATGTAATAAATTAAATAAGAATAATTATATTATAGTGCTTTGCTACAGCCTACTGAAAACTCCTCAATACATATTCAACAACATATATTTGGTAACATATTCTAGTCATCAACTAGTCATAAGGGCATTGCTATAAAAGAAAGGCAGTTTGTGCGAGATTTATTAACGCAAAATACCATCGTAAAGTTAATTATATCGGATTGTAATCTTCTTTCTTATTTTTTTTTTACATTTGATCCCAGCCCAAATAGTCATGTAGTCCAATTTTAAATATATATATTTCCAACTCTCGTCCTTGTGTTCCTGACAGATTCCACCCTGACTTGAAGCTGTCGGAGGCGCAGGGTGTGAGTCTGCGGGCGCTGCACCCCCCCGCCGCGCTGCAGGACTGCCTCCAGAGCATCGTGTCTGCAGCGGGTCACAGATCCGTCACCTCCGCCCTCTCCAGGCTCAGATTATATCTGCTGATAGAGCACCTCGCTCTGCCGCACATCCCCACCCTCAGCTGCAGGGACACCCTCACCTCCCTCGGCTGGCAGGCAGCAGTCACCAGGTACACTGCACACAAATTATATTAAAGAGTTTATTTAATTTGCTTAGGTATTCAACCTTTGACACAGTTCATCATGTTCTCCTCTCACTGTCTCCTTTCCCATGGCATAGGTCTACGGCCTTGGGTATTGCTGCTATCTCTCTTAAGAAATGGCAGCTTGGGCGCATTGTTGATGCCAGTCTATGACCGAGCACAAGCTGACATGAGTGACTGACATTCTTTTCCATGGACGACAGCTCTAGTTAGATTCAGGGTCCATAATTGTTTAGTCTCACTGATGAAGAATGTTGATTATTACACTCCGAACTAGTGGGTACAGAAAGAGTTCTTCAGAATTGGTTTGGCATCCGCTGTGTCAACTCGTGACACACCACCTGTCTTGCCAATTCTCCGGCCGAAGCTCCAAATAAACCGTCAGTGTTTGCCATCAAAGTTCCTGCTCTCCCCGTGTCTCTCTGAGTCTCCATTGCTTCAGAAGTTTCCATCACAAATATGTCTGGTTAAAGTTTATTAATTAAGCAAACATGGGGGGGATGTATGAAATCACTCCGCAGTATGCCGTTATTATTCCTGCTGCTGAAGTAAACAAAACTCACTGTGAAATGTTTCCATGGCTCAGTGTGTCTTTTTGTCTTATTTTAAAGGATTGACATGGGTAGATTGAGTTTAATGCCTTTTTCTGTTCACAGTGAGTTCTTAAGCTTCCCTGAGGAAGTATGACAAATGTTTTTATTCCCCTTAATCAAGTACAAATCTATACAGAGACACAACACAGGCGTAAAAGAAGCAGTGGATGGATTTAAGCATCGTCTGAATGCCTTTATATAGTTCCCTTTCTCTTAAAATTAAGAAATAGAAAAGGGGCTTGGGTATGAATGGATGAATATGACACAGGGCTGCAGTATTGATTGACCATTTTTTGAAATTCGCAAAATCAGTTATAATAATCTCAATTAATTTGAGTTTTTCACATCCTGCAGCCCTAATATTGCGATATAACTGAGATGTATTATTTAAATGGCTGTGTGTCTTCCTCCCTGCAGGTTCCTCCAGGTGCGTCCAGCCTGTGTGGACGATGAGAGGTTGCTCGTGGGTATCGTTGCATTTTTGAATGCCTACTTCAACCCCTCTGAGTCTGCATCTGATCCCGAGGACCAGGACCTGCGCTGGATCCTGGAGCTGCTTCTCAACCAGGTACAAATAATTCACACTCTCTGGTTGGTAGGTAGATAGATAGATAAATAGATAGGTAGATAGATAGATAGATGATAGGTAGATGATCGGGAGTCGAGGGAGGTAGGGAGCGGCGGTAGGGCGGTCGCTATAGCTCGCTCGCTCGCTCGCTCGGTCGGCTCGGTCGCTCGTCGCTCGGTCGCTCGGTCCATCGGTCATCGGTCCTCGCTCGCTCGCTCGCTCGTGCCTCGGTCGCTCGTCGGTCGCTCGGTCGCTCGGTCGCTCGGTCGCTCGGTCGCTGCTCGGTCGCTCGCTCGGTCGCTCGGTCGGTCGCTCCCTCCGTCGCTCTCTCGCTCGCTCGGTCCTCGGTCGCTCGGTCTCCTCGGTCGGTCGGTCGGTCGGTCTCTCCCTCCTCGCTCGCTCGCTCGCTGCTCGCTCGCTCGGTCGCTCCTCGGTCGCTCTCGCTCTCTCTCCGCTCGGTCGCCTCGGTCCTCGGTCGCTCGCTCGGTCGCTCGGTCGCTCGCTCGCTCGATCGCTCGTCTCGGTCGCTCCTCGGTCGCTCGCTCGCTAGGTCCCTCGGCCTCGGTCGCCTCGGTCGCTCGGTCCTCCTCGCTCGGTCGCTCGCTCGCTCGCTCGCTCGTCCGCTCGCTCGTCGGTCGGTCGGTCTCTCGCTGGTCGGTCGGTCGCTCGCTCCCTCGCCTCGCTCGCTCCCTCGGTCGCTCGCTCGCTCGCTCGCTCGCTCGCTCGGTAGCGGTCGGTCGCTCGGTCGGCTCGCTCGCTCGCTCGTCGGTCGCTCGCTCGCTCGCTCGCTCTCGTCGGTCGGTCGCTCTCGGTCGGTCGGTCGCTCGCTCGCTCGCCCTCGCTCGCTCGCTCCCTCGGTCGCTCGCTCGCTCGCTCGCTCTCGCTCGGTCGGTCGGTCGGTCGTCTCGCTCCCTCGCTCGCTCGCTCGGTCGCTCGCTCGCTCGCTCGGTCGCTCGGTCGCTCGGTCGCTCGCTCGCTCGCTCGGTCGGTCGGTCGGTCGCTGGTCGTCTCGCTAGCTCGCCTCGCTCGCTCGATCTCGGTCGGTCGCTCGGTCCCATTGCGTTGCCGCGCATCCCCAAGGCCTGTACCCCCGCAAATCACACTAGAAATAGACAATCCAAAATATTTCTGAAGTAGAAATAAAATAGCATTAAAAAGTAAAAAAATATACATGTGGAAATACAAATTTCCAGTAACAAAATATAATGCCGGATATTATATATACATTAATTGGTGGAGAAAGTAAAATCCTCAGGTCATGTGTTTCAGTGTGGTTGTAGTTTAGAGAATATGCAATAACTCTACTGTACTGGAGTGTCAAAGATGTGTGTGTGCATATCTGTTAGCTAGTAATCTGGTTACTCTGCTCTCCAACACAGAGGGTGATATACCTGTAATCAAACCGTGAATAAATCACACGCCGGCAGACAAGCTGAACACATTACACTCTCATAACGACAGAAAAATAGTTCCCCCTCAGACCCGCGGCACACATTATTTCCTCAGCTCTTAAAACAAAGTTGGATTCATATTTTTCGCCCGAGGCGGAGAAAATCATTCTCACAGTTTTAGCACTCAGAGCTACTTTTAGGATTTAATCAGCCTCACCTTGGTTTTCTCATTAATGTGTGTGTAAACAATAAGGCCTCCCCTGGCAGTGTAAGCAGACTCAGATTGAACGCCTGGTAGGGGTGAGCGGCTCTGCTTTACTTTACTTTTCTGTAATTACTGAGCTGGTTCAAGAACATCTGTCTCTCTCTACACTTATAATAACTCTCTGCAACGCTCAGGAAGACATTCTGCATGTTTCTTAATCTTGTTTAGAATATGAGATTTGCAGGGATAGGGTGGGGTAATGGAATAAAAAAGGAGGTGTTTTGCTAAAATACACCTGTCAGCATCCTCCACTTCTTCCCTCCATGGGTCAGTTTGTTGGTATTTAGAAAGGTTGGCAGATTAATTATATATATTTATACAGGTAAATCAAATCAAATCAAATCAGGTTTTATTTATATAGCACATTTAAAAGCGATTTTTGGTCGAGCCAAAGTGCTCAAAAAACACATTACTACAATCACATAATCAATAAACAGATATATATAAAAAACAAAATTAAAATAAAAACACAAGGAAAAGTCAGGAGTCGTGCTCTGCTCTAACTAGAAGGCCAGAGAGAAGAAGTGTGTTTTAGAGTGGATTTAAAAACCCCTAGGGTCTGGGCCGACCTCACATGGAGGGGCAGAGTGTTCCAGAGCCTAGGGCCAGCTGCTGCGAAGGCTCGGTGCCCTCTGGTTTTAAGCCTGGTCTTGGGCACTACCAGCAGCAGCTGGTCAGCAGACCTTAAAGCTCTGGCTGGGGTGTAGCGCTGGAGGAGTTCAGCTATATAGGCCGGAGCCAGCCCATTTAGTGCTTTAAAAACAAATAAAAGGATTTTAAAATCAATTCTGAACCGAACTGGAAGCCAGTGCAGTGAGGCCAGAATTGGGGTGATGTGGTCACGCTTTTTGTGGCCAGTCAGCAAACGTGCAGCTGCGTTTTGGACTAGCTGCAGGCGTTTAATTGAGGCCTGGTCCATACCCACATACAGAGCGTTGCAATAGTCCAGTCTCGAGGTTACAAAGGCGTTAATAACCCTTTCTAAGTTATTAAAAGATAAATACGACTTGGTTTTGGCCAATAGTCTTATTTAAAAAAAGCAGGATTTGACTACAGTGCTGATCTGCTTGTCGAATTTAAAAGTGCTGGTGAAGGTAATGCTAATCCAAGGCCATTTCTCAATGTTAAGGAGGCTTGCTTGGTAGCACATGTACTGTATGCTGGGCATTGAAACAGTCCTTCGGCGCCACTCGATGACGTAGTATGCTTGAAATAGTGGCTCTGGAGCAGCTTTACTCGACATTGAGAAACGGCCCAAGTTAATAATCCTCTTGAACAAATGGATTCGCTGTCAGAAGCTGTAAGCGAAGTTAACACAGAACACAAAGGCATACAAATACCAGGAGAACACATTTAGAAAACTGGCCAAAACTAATATTTATATGTAAACGATTAAGTAAAAGAATAAAAAACAACATTATCTTCTTGCCCTGAGAGGAAAGTCTGATTATACATGTTTTTATTGCCTGTGTTTTTTTACTTAAACACAGGTAAAAGAAGGTTTTGCCATAATCATCTAACTATAACTCCTTAATTTAGTTTAAGCAGAAGATGTTTGAGTTACTTTTAGTTTTGGCAGGTGGGAAGTGGCACTGTTTTACTCCAGGTGAGTTTGAATGTCTTCATGCACAAGGTTTCATTAAATAAACTAGTAGCCAAGATAAAGCCATGACAGTAATTTAACAATAACTTGATAACACCTTATTATAAGAAAGTAACTAATACAGATTATCCTTGCACAACCTTTTTTCTTTTTCACGCTGTTATTGACTCCTAAACACAAGAGAGACAACAGTCAAGACTTAACTCTTACTCTTTCTTGCCTCTCGGTGTTTCTGTCATCATAACATTACAATTATTCAATCCAAAATGATGGACCAATGCAACATTCTTATCCGTCAATCCTCCAGGAGTCAGCGTCCCTCCTCAGTCTCCTGCTCGGTGTGGAGACCCAGACGTCCTCTCAGACCTCGGAGGAATCAGAGGAGCAGAAGAACCACGTCGGCCAGAGACTTCAGAGAGAGCTCAGTAGCTTCTTCAACACTATACTCCTCCGAGTCACACACACCACTGACAGGTAGCAGGGATATCACCCAGAAACATCCGGAAAAAGCCCTTTATTTTCAGCCCTTTGTGACCTGTTGTAATTTGGGTTCATTTATTTGATATGCAAGGCTTTCCTCTCTTATGTCTGTCTTTTTGCTCGTGTCTCGCTCTTCTCCCCCTGTCCTCTTGTCCTCTGCTGTCTGTCCCACACCACTGACAAGTACCAGGTGTTACTCGATAATATGACACACTTTCGTCTTAGCACGACACATTATTTCAGCACACCGCCATCTTCGGATATCACATACAACACGTAACTCCCACGTAACACTTCACAACATCCGGTAGCACTTCCGGTTCTTCACAATAAAACTCCAAGTGAACACATTAAACATAAACACAAATAGTGCATGTAAGTGAACACCAGGGATATCACAGAGAAACATCTGACAAATCACGTGACACACAGCCCTTTATTTTCAGCACTTTGTGTCCTGTTGCAATTCAAATGTGATATTTAACATGTTCTAATTTGGGTTCATTTCTTTTAGATGCAAGGCTTTCCTCTCATGTTTGCTTGTGTCTCGCTCTTCCCAGACACAGGACCTTTATTTTCAGTGTCCTATTGCAATTCAAATATAATATTTAACATGTTCTAATTTGGGTTCATTTCTTTTACATACAAGGCTTTCAGAATCAGAACCAGAATACCTTTATTCGTCCCACAGAGGGGAAATGTACGTGTGTTATAGCAGAAAAGAGCCAAAGATAGCTTAAAGTGGACCTATCATGCTATATTTTAATAACATAGTGTAGGACCATACCTATATAAGGCATATTTATACTTTTTTTTTTTCAAAATACCAAACAGATCATGCATTTTAGCCATGCCTCATTTTGCTCAATTTGACATTTTTTAGATCTGTTTTAGTAAGGGCTGATTCAGTGAGAACAGCACCACCTACAGGCCTGGCATATGTACTACAGCGTCTCCAGCGCTTTCGAACGGCAATGGCCGTGGCTGTCTCCTCCTGATTGGTGGAGTTGGCCCAATAGCCGTAGCGCCACCGTCCTGACGTCAGGACAGTGTTCAAATCTGGATCAGTTTTGATCAGATCCGTTGCAGCCCCTTTTTTAGAGATTTGGGTATGGAGGAAAATAGAGAGGGTTGTGTTTTCTGACACTTGGTGAGTTCCCTGGAACACCGGGGACACATATTCATGTAGAAAAGACGTACAAAAGTGCCTTTTGCATGATAGGTCCCCTTTAAGGTTACCTAAGAAGCATGCATCCTCTCTTATGTCTGTCTGGTTTTCTCTTGTCCTTCCCTCCCTGTGTGCAGGCTCTGTCTGGCGTTAGCGGGCCCGCTTCAGAGCCAGCTGGCGGTGCGTTTGCTCCAGAGTCTGAGGGTGTCTGACGCCCCGCGCTTCTACGGCCTCCCCAGCCTGGAGAGGACTCTGCTGGGCATGGTCCGCCTCACCGCACAGCCCGGATGGAGCTCTCACTGCACTGACATGGAGCCCAAGATACTCTGCTCCAAGTACCTCAGCGGGCTGCTAGAGGTACAATACAATACAAATTTATCAAACTTTATTTGTATAGCCCAATATCACAAAACACGTTTGAATCAGAATAATCAGAATCAGGTTTATTCAGCTCTAACTGAAGGCTTTTGTTTAAAATGTAGGTCTTCAACGCACTCTTAAAGGTTTGGACCCTCTCTTCCTCTCTGATTAAAACGGGAAGAAGTCAGTCCTTATTAAACACAGACAAAGCACTCATCTTAAAAAGAGAAAAGCCATTTGCTTATTTACATTTCTGGCCAGTTTAACACAGATTAAGAAACAGACATTAATTGACATGCAACAACATCACATAGTCTCTATAACTAACAATATGCTAACAAATCTGCAAGTATAGGCATTGTTGATACAAACAAGCAAATCATTTTACAAGAATTTAGAACTCTTGCATTAAAGTTACATAAATCTGGTTGAGTAGGAAAAAAAACAAAATAGGAAATGTGTGAAATATGTTCCTCAGTTCAATCTGAAATAGGTCTTCTTGCTTTAAGCTGTGATGACTCTGTTTTGAGGTGTGCATATGTTAATGTGTTGCATGTGCTCCTTCCCTCTGATCTGAGCCTACAGACATGATGAATAAAAGGAAAAGCACAGTGCTTCCTGAGGAATTAATTAGGTAAAAACGTGGTTACGGGACATGCATTGCAATCGGTACAAACCTCACTCAGTAGATATGCCACACTGTGAAGATGCTGATGAGATTAATCAACCTTGCCTATTCCATCTGTTCGTTGTTCACCGGTCCATAAAACAATACCGTAACACGGCGTTGCACCAGCTCGTGCACAGAGGTGTCCAAAGCCTTATTTCTGAGTGAGAGCCCAGTGGAAACACAACACCTCTCATTGTCTGCTGTAATGGGCAGCTTGTACGGACATGAATTAAGATGGAAATTGAAGGTTAATTTGGTTTTTCAGTCAGAATCTCTGGCGGCTGCTTCCATCTCAAGCATAACAATGAACACCTCACTCTCCTCCACCCTCTGACCCACCTCTCACCTGGTTCTCTCAGCGCTTTGGGGCCCTAAAGCGCCTCGGTCTGGATGTGCAGCTGCTCTCCGGCGCTGTCCCACATCCTGATCGCACATCAGAGCAGAATAATTAGTCTCAGCTGTATTTAGCTTTCCTTTCCATGCCGTGAGGTGCATGACAAGCGAACATTATCCCTTACTCTGACACAGGTGGTACTTCTGATGTAGGGACATGAGATAGCATCACTTAGCTACTGTACCAAAACCAAATCACCTGCAGTTCTGTCAGTCATGTGTTTGCAGGATGAGAGCAGATGGAAACACATTTAAAATTATTTTGATAATTGATGAATGTATAATTTTTCCGGTCAGAAAAATCTGTTTTCAGTCTCAAACATTTAGATTTGCTGCATTTCTCTGTTCTAAATCATACGAAAGTGATTATTTTCGGGATTGGAGAGACATAACATGACATTAAGACATCACTTTTGATTTTTTAGTAGCTTGGATGGACATTTTTCTCTATCTTCTGACACTTTTACACCAAATGAATAATACATTCATGTAGAAAATCAGATTAGTCGTTAATTAAAATAATTTTGTTTCTGTTTTGCTGTTTGTGTTATTGTCATCAGGTCTCTTTCGGAAAATAACATTTCATCTCAATGAATGTCTAATTTAAAAAATAAAACAAAATTAGTTGCTTGGGCTTTATTCAATATGCCCAACATGATCCGTGTCTTTCCTCACAGGTGATCTCCTCGTTTTATGTCGAATGGGGGGGAAACTCCATGTCCTTCATGGGGAAAGGTGTGACCAAGAACGCCGTCATCTGCCTCCTTCACCTGTCCCACGAGATGCTGATGGAAAACAAAGACAAGGCAAGTGTGGACAAACTGCTGCAAAGGTCTCTTATTTTCTCATCTTTAGAAAGTGTGTCAGAGTTTAGAACAAAAACAACAGCTGATCAAAAACAAGAAGCCAAACAATTTTCAAATATTTCTGTCAAATAAGGTGATCACACAGATAATCGTGAAGTAACCGTTCAGCAGGTCACTTCATCAGCAGACTATGCAAGGACATTTAGATAATAATTACTTTCCAGACTTCTTTTTCAAAATATGATAAATCTTGAAGTGAGGCGATAGAGGAAGTTTTAAAATAATGTTTATGAGCCTATATGCAACATTGAGGCCCCACGCAAAGTTATATGATGAGGCCCTCTGTTTCGCGAGCGTCGTCGTCGGCGGGGGGGAGGGGTGCTAGTGGAGCCTCGCAGCGGCGAAACCGTGCCGCGCCACACTAATTGCGCGGCATAAGCCACATTTTCGGCTCAGTTGAGGCCCCCTCCGCAAGATGAGGCCCCCTCCGCAAGATGAGGCCCCTCCGCAAGGTGAGGCCCCCTCCGCAAGGTGAGGCCCCCTCCGCAAGGTGAGGCCCCCTCCGCAAGATGAGGCCCCCTCCGCAAGATGAGGCCCCCTCCGCAAGGTGAGGCCCCCTCCGCAAGGTGAGGCCCCACGCAGTCTGCATGATCGGCCTGTCGGGAGGGACGGCCCTGCCTATATGAGCGGCTGTGGCTCAGTGGATAGAGTGCTGGACTTCGAATCAGGGGATAGCAAGTTCGAGTCCCACTGCAGTCAGCATGTCGTTGTGTCCCTGGCAAGACACTTCACCCCAGATTGCTCCTGTGGGGATTGTCCACAGTACTGAATGTATGTAGGTCGCTTTGGATAAAAGCGTCTAACAAATTACATGTAATAGTAATAATAATAATAATGAAACCTAACTCTGTATTTAGTTCTAAAGTCCACGTTTTAATAGTTGATATTACTGCAAGCTTAATGTAGGAGTTCAAATGTTTGTTTTAGCCTCAAATATGCCAGTTCAATCACTTAGAAGAAGCTAATAGATAGGTTACAACATCTAAGGTAATATTCGGGAAATGTCTGCCAATGTTCTCCTTCTGTTTCTTATCTCATCTTTAGAAAGAGTTGTCCAATGTTCCTCTCTCTGTTTTGTCTGCGTCAGGACTTCATTTCCCAGTGGTCTTTGGGGAATGATGTGTCTTCTGAGGACACTAACCCCTCTCAGCTCGGTTTGGCCTGGCTCATCCCTCTGTGGGTCGACCGCGATCAAGAGGTACACGCACCTTCTCATTTTCATATAAACTGTACTATTAAATCTTCAGCTCAACTTTATAAAATCAAGTTTCTACATGTTGGAGTTTTTGGGACACATTGAAACCCATAAGAGCTGCATAAGAACTCACAGATAAAAGGAAGCACCTGACGGCAAGTCATACCAACTCTCCGTCTGTTACTAAAAATAACTCGAGTCAGTCTGAGAGGCTTGTTGACAAGTTTGACTTCACCATCGTGTATTTAAATGCTATTTAAATCTCACTCGTCACCAGCTTGAGCTTCAATCTCAGGATCCATGTATCTCTGATCCTCTCCAGAATGGAAGTAGTCATCACATACAGAGCATCAACTAGTTCCTGAACAGTGTCCTTCACATGCTGATATCCAAGAGAGGGAGTTACACAGTCACAAGATGGAGGAATAGAAAGCAGTATTCAATGTTTACTTCAGATTAGCTCCACGTCAGAAATGAGCATGCTTGTCATATGTCTCTCTCCATAGAGTCTGAATCATCATGTTAATCACATAGCTATCATATGCCTCAAACAGTCCTGATGCTCTTCTAGGTAATCATACATCCTGTCATGTACACAGCTACAGTTGGGATACCTTTGTTATCATGTGTACTCTCATATTGGAAGAGGACATTCAGTATGTTCCCAACAGTAGGTGTCCCATGTCCCACATTTGTGAGAGTCATTACAGCTTGTATTCACTCTTCTTTCCTACCCTCATCCCTTCTCCCTCTGGGTTCAGGTGAGGTTTTCCTCTCTGGGTCTGGGGGCCCGCTCTGACCTCGGGGTCCAGCGGGTGTCAGGCTCTGTGTGCCAGCTGTCAGAACATCAGTGGAGGATTGTGGGGAACGCTGCTCAGCATCCTCCTGGATCAGCAGGAGAGCAGCATGGTCCGCAGAGAGGTAACATTTATCAATACAATCCTGAATAGGTTTCAAGTATTAGTATTAGTAACAGAGGACCACAAATAATAGTAAATAAACAAAAATAATAATAATGTAAAATAATAATGATGGAGAGAGAATACAAGTGGCATACTGTAACATAGTGTTAACAATTCTTACTGTATTAGTAAATGCATAACAGGGGCCCATAGTTTTTTTCTGTAGGCGTAATAAATATGTTATTTGCTCCATGTGATCCCACACTCTCTGAATCCAGCAGTTATAGGTGGGAGGTTCTGGTTTCAACCATTTAATGGTGATGCACTTCAGGGCTGCTGTCAATACAATTCTTAATAGACATGCCGTAGACCTCTGTTCTAGACTCAGCTAAATTCTATTTTTTAATATATGAACACAATATATATTGTATGTTGGTCTGTCCCAGGAGAGGGATCCCTCCTCAGGAGCTCTTCTGGTTTTTCCACTGAGTTTTTCCTCATGCTCTGCCTATGTCTAAGGGCGGAGGATGTTGTATTCTGTACACACTGAAAAGCCCCCTGATTCAAACGTGTACATTGGATTTTTATTTGATCTGCAACTCCGCTCTTCTGCACAACCCAGACACATTTTTGTTTTAACAGGAAATGAACTGTGGACTCTGAGGAGCTGAAATATAGATCTAGTTCTTTATATTTCCAGGAATAATTGACTAAAACGTACTCCATCTATTGCTAAAACTCAGCCCCTCCTGTTGTTGGACAATCTCCACACAACAAACTAAAACTAAACGTCACTTTTATTTCATCCACGGTCAGAAATTGTGCCTGTAATGTTGTCTGTATTACCAGCCAAAAGCAGGCAGATGGCACTGTTGCTGATGTAGTGTGTGTGTGTGTGTGTGTGTGTGTGTGTGTGTGTGTGTGTGTGTGTGTGTGGTGTGTGTGTGTGTGTGTGTGTGTGTGTGTGTGTGTGTGTGTGTGTGTGTGTGTGTGTGTGTGTGTGTGTGTGTGTGTGTGTGTGTGTGTGTGTGTGTGTGTGTGTGTGTGTGTGTGTGTGTGTGTGTGTGTGTGTCCGTGTCCAGGCTGCATTCATCCTGCAGAACTTGCTGGTGATGCCCATGCCTGCCAACGCAGAGGAGGCCAAGGACTCCCACTGGCAGGTCAGCCGCTCTGCCAATCCGTTGAAAAGCTTTTATAGACCATGAACTGTTGTCTCTCTCCCTTACCACCCCCCCGCCTCACACCCTCCTCTTGTTGAAGCTACAGGGTCAGACCAGGGTTGTTTGCTCTACTGGGGCGCTCACATCCAAAATAACAAATGTTAAATCTCTGTCAAAACACCAACAGCATCCTAATTTGGAATTCCTTAACTCATTAACCAGTTTTTTCCATAATAAATGGAGGCGTGTGGTGCAGTGGGTTAGTACGTTGGTGTTTGGATCAGGGGAGCACAGGTTCAAACCCCACTGCAGTCAGCATGTCGTTGTGTCCCTGAGACACTTCACCCCAAATTGCTCCTGTGGGGATTGCCCACAGTATTGAAAATGTAAGTCGCTTTGGATAAAAGCGTCTAACAAGTAACATGTAATGTAATGTAATGTAATGGTTAATCAGGACAAATATATAAAGCTCCAATCAGGTTAATAAAGAAAGAAAGCAGTGGCTCTTACAGTTGAATAAACAAGAACATGCAATTTAACTTTACCTTAAAGTGGACCTATCATGCTATATTTGAATAATATAGTGTAGGACCATACCTATATAAGGCATATTTATACTTTTTTTTTTCAAAATACCAAACAGATCATGCATTTTAGCCATGCCTCATTTTGCTCAATTTGACAATTTTTAGCTCTGTTTTTGCAAGGGCTGATTCCAGTGAGAACAGCACCACCTACAGGCCTGGCATATGTACTACAGCGTCTCCAGCGCTTTCGAACGGCAATGGCCGTGGCTGTCTCCTCCTGATTGGTGGAGTTGGCCCAATAGCCGTAGCACCACCGTCCTGACGTCAGGACAGTGTTCAAATCTGGATCAGTTTTTATCAGATCCGTTGCAGCCCCTTTTTTAGAGATTTGGGTATGGAGGAAAATAGAGAGGGTTGTGTTTTCTGACACTTGGTGAGTTCCCTGGAACACCGGGGACACATATTCATGTATACAAGACGTACAAAAGTGCATTTTGCATGATAGGTCCCCTTTAAGCTATTTCAGTGCATTATTGTATTGTAACTGAAAGTTTTTCTAAGTGCTCTGGGGATGAAATATTTAATATATAGCAGGCCATGCACTGAGACCCTGGACATTCAGACAAAAAGTATCGGACGAAGAACCTATTTACTTCCACACGAAGAAACTAGAAGTGCAACAATTCTGACTAATTAACATTTTTGAGGACTTATTCCTATAGCCCTCTACTGTATATACCTTTCTCAACTAAAGCTGGAAAGTACATTTTAGTTTAATGTTGAAAATATATATCTAGTGATCTCTCAGACATTATAAACAGTCTAGGGTTCGGACAGAGTTCAACCTCTCACCTCTGTTCGTTTTTGCCCAGTAAAATCTCAGTAGAAGTCCTAAAAACTGTTTGATGAAGACTCCTCTCCTCCTGCAGCACCCCTGTGTTCATGATGAAGAGTCGGGCGTGTCTCTGGTGGGTCTTCCAGCGCTGCAGGCTCTTCTGTATCACTGTCAGTACTTCCAGCATGTGGCTCTCTGCGCCTCCAAATGTTACCGAGGCCGGCTCACCTTCCACCTGCAGCCTCGGGCCGGGGGACCCCAGGAGAGCATTTCACTGGGTAGGGTTTATTTACATGTCTCATTATTTATCAACTACTATTTCAAGTGTGTGGCCAGTTTATGATGTCATAACGATGTGTTGTCTTGTGTAACCATTAACTCGTCATTTTCTCTAGACCGCAGCTGATTTTAAGTTGCTACGATTATTCATCAATGTCTTTTTCAAGTCTGTTATTAATGTGTCTTCATGTGTGTTTTTAGACTCTGAGAGCTCTCTGTGGATTGGGAGATGCGACCCCCCTGTGGACTCCAGCAGGCCGTCCAGCTCGCTCTCCACATCCAGCACTGTGGTAACACCTTATACCTTTATACCTATACACTTACATGTTCATAATGTCATGCATCCTTCCTCACATCTTTATATTCTACGTTACAGATAAGGGCTTCAGGGCCACACACCCCGAAGAGTCCCTCCCCACTGAGCGTCACTGAGGACACTCCTGCCAGCAGACTGACGGCTCAAGGTACACATGCATTCACTGTTATTTCCTTTAGTGGCAGAAACCTGGTTGTGGTCAGTGATATTTAAAAGGTCCACACATTTGTGTTTATATTAAATAACTCGGAGAGAGTGAGAAATACTTTCTGGGGAAAGAAGGTCTTGCCAGGATCATTTTTGTTAAAAAAAATATTTATGAAATAGGTGTGACAGTGGATAAAAAAAGGTATGGCCAGGATAATGAATTAAGAATAATAAGTAATTGTTCTTATTATCTCGTGTCTCACAGGTCAGAGTGAGACGGACTCCAGCGACTCGTTGACCTCGGCAGATTCTCGACACGGCGACCAATCGACGGCCGTAGATCCCGTGTCGATGGTAACTCCAGATCTGATGACGTCTCACTGCGGCCTGCTGACCAACCTGCTGTCCATCCTGCCCGAATTCACACTCAGCGCCGTCACACACCATCACATCCTGCACGCTCTGGCCAGGTGAGAGACCCCTCCTGCAGGGTGGGAATCAGGAAAACACCCCAGAAGGATGTGTTTGTGAAATGAGTGGGAATTTCTTATGCCTTTTATCCAGTCTGGTGCTGAAATACGATACGATACGATAATACTTTATTAGTCAGATCAAGTCTGAAATTTGACCTGCATCACAGCATCAACATCAACAAACATCAAGACACAATACATGAGAAACAAACATTTAACAAATTAGTCTAAATCCCAGAAAACACCCCAGAAGGATGTGTTTGGGAAATGAGTGGGAACATATCATTTTTAAATAACTATAAAAGATTATATAAATAAACATGTATATATATTTGACTCAGTAGAGTGGGTATTTCTTATTCCTTGAATCCAGTCTGGTGATGAAATGAGAGGATTGAAGTCTAAATTAAAATGTTAAAATGAACACTGAGCTCTTTAAACACACAATATTTAATAATGATGTATATATATTTTACTCTGTAGAGAATACATGTTGATTGTAGCCTCGATCCCCTCTAGCTAGTTTCTTACACACACATTTCCCATCATGCTCCTCTTCCTCTTCAGTCTGGTGGATGTTCGGCCCATCGAGACGTGTCTCAGTGAGCTGAAGACGCCCAACGTGCCACCAGGAGAGAGAGAAGACATCAAGATCCAGGTGAGAAACACTGCCAGGTTGTAAGAGAAAAGAAAGTGTGTTGGTACAGCACAGTGCTTCAGGTCTAATGAGCGCACACACAGATTTAAGAGTGGGTGGAATACTCAAAAAGCCTCAGTCCAGAAACGTAATTTTACTATACATCCATTTTCATATGTTCTCTAACCTTAGCTGCGTTATACATGTGTACAATCTGTCTGCATGCGTGTGTGTGTTTGACCTGTGAAAAATGTCTTGTGTCCTGTGTGTTTTGTAGTTCGTCACACAGCTTCAGTTTCTGTCCGGCTTCTGCAAACTGCTGGGGTCATGTGTCACCGTGAGCTCGCAGCTGATTGGTCAGATGGACTTCCTCAAACAGCTGCTGACGGCTCTGGTTGCTGCGCTCATGCTGGATATCAAAGGATTAGGTCAGAACAATTATTGTGGCTTGTTAAGATACCTAAAGTCTAAAGTCCAATTATTAATCTAAAAATTATTGCATTAATGTGTTTATCCCTTTAATGTTGCAGCTGGTACATTTATTTTGATCTTTAATAATGATTTGTAGATTTTATTTTGTATTTTGAAGTAACTCACATCTAAGTACAAAACTTAAGTACATTTCTTGGGTAAATGTACTTTCTGCCTCCCACACGTCTCCCTCTCTCCCTGCAGCATGTCACACAATGTGATCTCTGTGTGTGTGTGTGCGTGTGTCACAAAGTGTGTGACTCAGTGTTTCCTCTCAGACGCAGGTTCCCGGGTGTGTGTGTGTGTGTTCTGGGCCGACGTGTTGACGCTCCTGGCGACTCTGGTGAGGAGGGACGTCTCTGCAGCGTACCCATCTGTCTCTGCTGCGCTGGGGAGGCGCTGGCACACATTTGCAGGTACACACACACACACACACACACACACACACACACACACACACACACACACACACACTCACACCCTCTGTCTGTCTGTCTGTCTGTCTGTTTTAACAACTGCACAAAACTCTAACCAAACAGAGAAATGCTTATGTGTGTGTGTGCGTGCGTGCGTGCGTGCGTGCGTGCGTGCGTGCGTGCGTGCGTGCGTGCATCATTAATCACCATTTATCATAATAGATTATTTTCTTTTTAGAAGGCGTTTCGTTGAGTTTAAAAACATGGTTTCCAGATTCATGAATGACTGATAACTGTTATTAATTCTGCTGATTGAACTAAATACCCAGGATTAGCATTTAATGTGTAATTTTGCATAGACAAAAACCCTCATATTCTATCATATCAATGTCATCACTGTGTGTATTAAGTTCCCTGAACAGATGCTGCTTGTGGATAATTGCATCCCGTCCTTACAGCACCTTATCTTCCTCTGTGATTAATGGCCCAGCAGGGAGATGTGATGAGTCCAGTGAAAGATGAAGCTTTTGTTCTGCTTGTATTTATATCTGTGTGTACTGGTTTATGGCATCTGCGTGTCTGCATACAAATTGAAATGATGAGTGTGTTCATGGACAAATATCAGGGGATTTAAACCAATGGATGTGCCGTTTTGTCTCGCTGTGATTCAGAGTGATTATTGCTGCTGTGTCATTCAATAAAAGAACAACTCACTCTTCTTATTTTCCCCGTGTGTGTGTGTGTGTGTAGGAACATTATCAGTGTGTGTGGCGGAGGAGTTGGCAGACTCTGCTCTGCACACAGCGGCTCTGCAGTTCCTCAGCACGGTTTTCACGGAGGAGACAAAGAGTCTGGGTGCAGAGGTCACAAACTATAAACATGTCTCCGCTTTGTGGGACATTTTAAACGGTCCCTCGGCCAGCCAGCTGTGTGACCTTCTGCTGCAGGTACGACTGTCTAGACTCGGCGTTATTATTGGAGAATAAGTAGGGAAAAATGTTGTCAAAACTAAACAAAAAACTTTTTCCTTCGAGAAAATCTAATGTGTGTTTGTGTAGCACATTTCAGCAACAAGGACTTTTAAAGTACTCGACAAAGTGCTCAAAAACACATTATAAAAGAACATTAGAATACAATGAAAACAAGTCATTAAAAAGCCAAGAGAATATACAATACAAACCGGCTATTTCTAAAATAAACATTGAACCACAGAAACTGAACAGACTTGACCTTCCAGGAGATGGAGCTATTTAGAAATAATCCTTTCAGTTCATCCTTGATTTGTTTTGCTCTTCAGCTGTGATCTAATGTTAACCAATAGGGCTTATAATAATTATTATTATTACACACATCATCATATATTATAATAATTAATAATAATATGTTGTGTGGTCGTGAAAGAGGATTTGAATTGATCTTTGAATCAAAGGATGTAATCATTAGTACCATTTCTATACCGCACCATGCATGTTATATGTAAACAAAGCTATGTACGTCTGAGACATTAGATGCTATCTTTTGTGAGCCTGTGATTTTGTTGAATAATAACGTTCCCTCTTTGTCGTTTGATGCAGAGTTTGGACAAGAGGACTTTTCAGGATCCTCTGAAGAAGCCGACAGCCCGAGCTCTGATGGCGCTGTTATCGTGCAGCCGCTCCGCTCAGAGCCACGCAGCCAAAGGTAAATCCCCCAAACTCACTGTGTAGACGGGGAAACCTGTTGAATTGACTTTGAAAAGTGAAAAATGGGTCACTAGATTTTTCTCTGGGGGTTCCCAGACATGTGATACAGGTCATAGAGTGGAAAGCGTTTATTGAACACTGCGTCTATCTTTGCAACCAGCAATTTCTATTTTTTGTTATTTGAAATGTAGATGTATTACACTCTCTCACAGTTTGTTCGCCCCTCTTTTTTTTTTGTATTCTTTATTAGTTATTTTCTCACATTCCCCTTTACATCCAATAGTACTCCAATTTAAAGTGGACCTATCATGCTATATTTGAATAATATAGTGTAGGACCATACCTATATAAGGCATATTTATACTATTTTTTTTTCAAAATACCAAACAGATCATGCATTTTAGCCAAGCCTCATTTTGCTCAATTTGACAATTTCTAGCTCTGGGCAGATTCAGTGAGAACAGCACCACCTACAGGCCTGGCATATGTACTACAGCGTCTCCAGCGCTTTCAAACGGCAATGGCCGTGGCTGTCTCCTCCTGATTGGTGGAGTTGGCCCAATAGCCGTAGCGCCACCGTCCTGACGTCAGGACAGTGTTCAAATCTGGATCAGTTTTTATCAGATCCGTTGCAGCCCCTTTTTTAGAGATTTGGGTATGGAGGAAAATAGAGAGGGTTGTGTTTTCTGACACTTGGTGAGTTCCCTGGAACACCGGGGACACATATTCATGTAGAAAAGACGTACAAAAGTGCATTTTGCATGATAGGTCCCCTTTAAATGAACGGTTTCTTTAACAAGGGGTCACAACATGTTTGAGGTCTCAAATCCTAAAAATGTATTAACAAAATGTATAGAAATCAAATCAATAATAACACTGTTCGCCCCTCTTCATTGTGTCTTATGAGGCAGTATTCACGGTTCGCACGGATCATTGAAATCATTGAAATGTGGTGATTTCAGGGGGAAGAATCAAGGCATATGAACACTTTGGAAAACAGAACCGCGTCAATGAAAGACCATTTTGTCTACTTGAATTGAGAAGGCAATATTAATCTGCTTCAGGACAGAACTAAAACAGATAGGGAGAGTTTTTCTGGTCAATTAAGCAGCTATTTCCTCTGTTTGTTATTTGAAAAAACTGTCTCACCGTGTCTTTTGGGGTAAAAAACAGAACATTTGGGGCAGTATTCACGGTTCCCACGGATCCTTAAAATCGTTGAAATTTGGTGATTTCAGGGGGAAAAATCAATGCATATGAACAATTTTGAAAATAGATTCAGGTCAATTAAAATGAATGTTGTCACTGTCAATCTCTGCTTTAATTGAGAAGGCAATATGAATCTGCTTCAGGATTTATATCAGGGTAACAAACAATAGCTTATCAATTTCTTTTCATACATATTCAGACATAATAAAACATTTTTAAATAAAATAAAGACACAAAAGGAATGTCTCAAAGAGAGTCCTTAACAAAGACAGTCAGAAACCTTTAAAGACATCACCTCTCAGACACACTTTTAATGTAGAGTTTCTTTTGGTCAATTGAGCTTGATATCTTAATGTAACTGTTCATATATTGCTAAGTGAACAACACAAATTCCCACATCCTTTTCTCTTCGTCCCAGCTGGTCTTATTGACAGCTGTGTGGAGCAGATGAAGAAGACTCACTCTCAGCTCCACCTCGAGTCCATCCGACCCGGGAAGGCTTCTCACCGCAGGAAGGTGAGAGAAGACTGGATGGAAACTTCCAGAGTCAACATTTCTAGGCCTGTTTTCCATTGGATAGAATCTGAAATGAACATGAAGTTTCTGGATAAATATTATGAGTATGAAGTCTCAGTCCTCTCTATTTTATGGAGCATTACCTATTATGCAAATTCCACTTCTTCACGTCTCTTCTACATCAACATGTGTCCCCTCTTCTCCATGTCTCTTCTACATCAACATGTGTCCCCTCTTCTTCATGTCTCTTCTACATCAACATGTGTCCCCTCTTCTTCATGTCTCTTCTACATCAACACGTGTCCCCTCTTCTCCATGTCTCTTCTACATCACCATGTGTCCCCTCTTCTTCATGTCTCTTCTACATCAACATGTGTCCCCTCTTCTTCATGTCTCTTCTACATCAGCATGTGTCCCCTCTTCTTCATGTCTCTTCTACATCAACATGTGTCCCCTCTTCTCCATGTCTCTTCTACATCAACATGTGTCCCCTCTTCTTCATGTCTCTTCTACATCAACATGTGTCCCCTCTTCTTCATGTCTCTTCTACATCAACATGTGTCCCCTCTTCTTCATGTCTCTTCTACATCAACATGTGTCCCCTCTTCTTCATGTCTCTTCTACATCAACATGTGTCCCCTCTTCTTCATGTCTCTTCTACATCAACATGTGTCCCCTCTTCTTCATGTCTCTTCTACATCAACATGTGTCCCCTCTTCTTCATGTCTCTTCTACATCAACATGTGTCCCCTCTTCTTCATGTCTCTTCTACATCAACATGTGTCCCCTCTTCTTCATGTCTCTTCTACATCAACATGTGTCCCCTCTTCTTCATGTCTCTTCTACATCAACATGTGTCCCCTCTTCTCCATATCTCTTCTACATCAACATGTGTCCCCTCTTCTCCATGTCTCTTCTACATCAACATGTGTCTCCTCTTCTTCATGTCTCATCTACATCAACATGTGTCCCCTCTTCTTCATGTCTCTTCTACATCAACATGTGTCCCCTCTTCTCCATGTCTCTTCTACATCAACATGTGTCCCCTCTTCTTCATGTCTCTTCTACATCAACATGTGTCCCCTCTTCTCCATGTCTCTTCTACATCAACATGTGTCCCCTCTTCTTCATGTCTCTTCTTCATCAACATGTGTCCCCTCTTCTTCATGTCTCTTCTACATCAACATGTGTCCCCTCTTCTTCATGTCTCTTCTACATCAACATGTGTCCCCTCTTCCTCATGTCTCTTCTACATCAACATGTGTCCCCTCTTCTTCATGTCTCTTCTACATCAACATGTGTCCCCTCTTCTTCATGTCTCTTCTACATCAACATGTGTCCCCTCTTCTTCATGTCTCTTCTACATCAACATGTGTCCCCTCTTCTTCATGTCTCTTCTACATCAACATGTGTCCCCTCTTCTCCATGTATAATAGGTGACCTTTAAACGTGTGCATGTAAACATATTCTCTTTCTATATGTCCAGGAGGAGAGCTATTTAAAGGAGGTGAAGCTGAGTGTGGAGATCCTCCGAAGCGCTCTCTATCTCAACGAGGAATGCAAAGTGAGCGCCTGCCTTTTAATTCCCCTCTGCTAATTGTTTTTTAATGGAACCTGCTGGGAGCACCAAGGCTGGATTCTGCAAATGAGATTCACCTAAATGTTCCTGGCCTTGCTCAGTTTAGCTCCCCAAACCCTGTAATGGCTTTACTTACGGAGCATATTAGCCGCTTCTCGTTTTCTAAGTGGCCTTTCAGTCTCTGCTCGTTGCTCTTGGGCTAAACAGCCACTGCAGTTTCTTATTTTTCTACCTCCCTGTGTGTGTGTTTCAAAACATCGAAGCTTTTTATGTTGATTACTGCCATCTGTGTTTGTGCTGTTGTATAAATCAGAGTTCCTTTGTGCATCTGTAATCATGTACACGCCTGTATGTGGGTGGGCTTTTACATATACATGTGTGTGTAAGTGTTCATTCTGCAGCTGTTTTGGATTTACTGCTAAAAAAAAGTGTGTGTTTTAGTCATTTCTAATCCTTTAGTTTGATCTCAATCTCAATCTTTAGTTAAAATATTTAAAATACAATTAAGTCTTGCATGTTGTTCTCAGAGCGTTTAGTGTAAAATTACGTCATTGCTGTCTCGTCTTAGTCCTAAAAAAAGGTGTTTAATTAACATATTTCTTCAGAACTTTCACAAGCTAACCACTGGTGTGTGTGTGTGTGTGTGTGTATTTGTGTGTATAATCCATGTGTGTGTGTGTGTAGGTGGTGGCTACAGATGCTCGCCTCACACTGGCCGTCTTTTCTCTCTGGCCTTGGCTCCTATTGGACGATCCGACCATGGAGGCGGTGCTTGAGCTGCTGTGTGTTTACACCGCCAACTGCATCACAGGTGTGTGTGTGTGTCTGTGTGTGTGTGTGGTGTATGTGTGTGTGGTGTATGTGTGTGTGGTGCATGTGTGTGTGATGCATGTGTGTGTGGTGTATGTGTGTGTGGTGCATGTGTGTGTGGTGTATGTGTGTGTGGTGTATGTGTGTGTGGTGTATGTGTGTGTGGTGTGTATGTGTGTGTGGTGTGTGTGTGTGTGATGCATGTGTGTGTGGTGTATGTGTGTGTGGTGTGTATGTGTGTGTGGTGTGTGTGTGTGTCACATTTCCATATAATCATTTAAATAATATGTATATATTATGTCTTGTACTCTGATTGCCTCTTACTCGTTTAAAAAGTATTTTTAATCCTATATGTGTTTAACAGAGACACATGTTTAGGATTTACATTTTAGGAAAGGCAAAAGGTGGATTTGCAAATGGTTAAAGGACTGGAGGGTTTAGATCAGTGGTTCCCAACCTGGGGCGCCAAAGAATTACATATAATTGTAACGCAATACATGATTGTTGCTAAAAGCCTTGTCTCTACATTACAATAAAATATAAAAAATATTGATTAATTCATTTGAATAACAATTGAAGTTAGTAGCTATTAAAGGCATAGCAAGACAGAAATGTATAATTCTTTCTTTAATAGAAATGTTTCTTCTGCCCGTAAAGTGTCCAAACCAGGCTTTTCTGGATAAGCGCATTTTTAAAACATAGTCATTGTCCATGCCGGTTTCAGTTGGATTATTTGTCACAGTTGCTCCGATCAGATCGGTCTCCTCCATTTTGTAGATTATTTACGACTTTTGAATCCACATAAACACATCGGCAGAATCCGGCTTACTTTGAGCATGTGTTTTAAACAGTTTAATCCCTTTGTGAATTGTTTCCACTTGCGCCGTCCTTTCATTTCTTCATACAGCGGGAATCCAAATGAATTAATCCTGAGTCCAATAAGTCACTCCAATAGTGCTCCTTGATTACGCTTTCATCCTCCTTTAACAAAATACTTCACATTCATCCAGTTTGTGACAATAGTTGTGTGTGTGTGTGTGTGTGTGTGTGTGTGTGTGTGTGTGTGTGTGTGTGTGTGTGTGTGTGTGTGTGTGTGTGTGTGTGTGTGTGTGTGTGTGTGTGTGTGTGTGTGTGTGTGTGTGTGTGTGTGTGTGTGTGTGTGTGTGTGTGTGTGTGTGTGTGTGTGTGTGTGTGTGTGTGTGTGTGTGTGTGTGTGTGTGTGTGTGTGTGTGTGTGTGTGTGTGTGTGTGTGTGTGTGTGTGTGTGTGTGTGTGTGTGTGTGTGTGTGTGTGTGTGGTAGGCACTGTGCCTGGCCCTTGCCTGCACATGGCCTCTGTCTGCGGTCAGCAATCTGCCTGACTCACTCACTCACTCACACACACACACACTTCTCACTAAGATCCCCATTGTCCCACTTGTTGCCCGCTGAACAACATGGCGTCTCGCTGCTCGCCTCGTCACAATGAACACAGTGTCAGGCGGAGTCTCGCTGTATGAACGGCAGACGATGTGTGGGCGCACAGAGCATCTCTGTCTCATCATGCAAATGTTATTTATATAGCACAATATCACACATCTGTCTCAGGGGGCTTTACAGTTTGTACAGGACATTAATGAATAGTTAATTGGGAGAAATGGAAGTGAGAGCAACAGAGAACCCTTCTCCCAGGAAGAACAGACAGCAATAGATGTTGTGTGTGAATCAAAAAGATAATACGTTATCATTTTCTGATTGCTGTAAATGAAGAAATCAGCAGATTATTTGCAGAAACAACCTTTCTGACTGCAGGAAATGCGTGATTTGTGGGTAGGAAACAGCAGACACATTCACGCTGATGAACAGCATGTGGTCTCTTTCTGATCTGTGTGTGTTGTGCAATGGAAATCAGATTCATCAGTGGGGCAAAGTGTTCTGTGGTTTGATTGACAGCGGTTCCTCGGTGATGTAAGGCCGCTCACGCTGTGCAGAAGTGGGCTCAGTTTCCCCCTGAAGGTTAACTGAACAGCAGTGCATGCAGCCAGGCTTAGCGTTACACCATCCGCCCTCAGGCTACCTTCTTCTTCTCCTGAGACGGCTGCATTTCCACCAAATCTTTCATCTCCGGTCTACCTGCTTCATGCTTTGTTTGCACACGTTGTTGTCTTCCTCTGCGCCAAAAACCGGCTCCCACAGACAGAAAACAAAACACTTCTTTTCTCTTAAAAACATGCCGATACGTAGCAGCAGTGGGGAATGCCTTTGCCTCACATCACTGGAGTAGCAGATCCATTATAAAGCAGACCTCCCATGTTAATTCTGTGATACAGCGGCTTCTTTGACAGGTATTGAGATAACCTCGGGCGAACATCAGCATACGCCGGTTGCTGTGTGTTAGCGTTCAAGGATTAGCATAACCAACAAGCTGTCATGTTCTCCGAGAGGAAACATCAATCAGTGTCGACTCTCGGCCTTTTCAACGCTCGCCGCCTTAAGCACGTTCATTTCTGTGTTTTATATGTAACCTCCAGCCGCAGCAATTAGTCAGTTATCGGATGTGAAGGATGTGCCAGGAGAGAGAGATATGTTTATTAGTGTGTTATTTATTTGTGTTTACATTTCTGAGTGGTCTGAATTGTGGGAGGAAGTGTAACCTTTGCTTCAGCTACCTGAATCTTTCTTTAAAGTTATTTTAATTGTGTACTTGTTTTTTAAGATGACTGAGTCTCTCTTTGCAGTCTTTATTGTTCCCACTAAGGGGACATTTTTCCTCTCTTAATCATCATTTTTGTCTTAGCTTTTACACCCAACAAGCAGAGCATGCACAGGTGTTTTGGTGAAGGAGCAGACAGCGTGCAGTCTCTATGTACGTGGCTACTGGTGGACAGCTAGCTAGCTTTAAGATAAACAGTTAGAAGCAACCAGTTCTAACAAGAAGACGTGTTATAGTGTGACCTGTTTATGGACTTTGCAGTGATCTTCCATTAAAGACACAGGGATAGGTCGGGAAATCTTGGAGTATTCCTTTGCGGCGTTGGGTTGTTGTGCTTTCTATTCACTGTGCACACATTTCACAGTGTGTGTGTGAGAGAGATGAGGAAGCTTGTGAAATGACTCAAACACAGAAATCACAAAACCTGACTACTTCAAATGTAGACAAATCTGACAAAACCACAGGAATTCTCATGGTTATTATGTTCTCTCTTTCCTCTCAGCCTGCAGCTGTGTGTGTGTTGGTGGCTCTGGATCTGCAGCAGGGTGTAAAGGCGCTCCCAGCAGCTCTCTGATGCTCTGCGTCACGAAGCTGGCCTCGGGGGTCGCGTCTGATAACACCCCCGTCCAGAAACTCTCCTTCTGTCTGCTCGCTAACCTCGCCATGTCCCGCGACTGCAGAGGCCTCCTGCAGAAAGTAAGCCCTGGACACAGTGTGTAGTGAACAGAAATGTAGAAAATGTATTATTGCCTTCCCTATTTTCTCTAAAAGTAGATATAACATGTTTAAAAATCTATTCAATTCAATTCAAAGGTTTTATTGTCATATGCATAAAGCTGCATTGTAGAAATGGCAATGAAATTCTTCTGACCTGAGCTCCTCCAACAATGCAACATATATACAAAAATACAAAATAGTGCAAAAAGTCTATATACATGTCAATAGAATATGATATGTACAAGAAGAGAATATGAATGTAAATTAAGAAAAAATTGAATACGGTTTATTGCGGTGATAACTATTTATATAAATTACTATATTGCAAGCGACCTGGTAAGATGAGCCAACTCTTTTCTTAAGATCATTTTGACTGGCTGTGAAAAACAAATTCAACTAAAGTGTGATATGAAGTGTTAATAAATAATACATATATATATATATATATATATATATATATATAATGTTTGTACAGTATCAGAATCAGAAACAGGTTTATCACCAGGTGGGTTGACACGTACGAGGAATTTGACTTGATGTCGTGGTGAATACATAAAAGTAAAATACACAGATAGAGAACTATTTTAAGAACACTATAATAACATAAGAAAAAATATAGCAAAATGAATTCATATATAAATATCATAATTCTCTTGTTTCATTTCATTTCATTATTATTTTTTTTAATTATTGTTTTACACGTTCGAAATAAATCAAATCAAATACCAAAGATACCAACATTTCACTAAATGATCAGTTGTATTGTGTTGAACTGTTGGAGGAGCCTAAGATGTTCGTTGTCATAGCTACACTGTAGCTGTGAACACATGACAATAAAAGCCTTGAATCTTGAATCTAAATGCTACTTTTCTGTCGTTCTCAGAATAACTTCCTGCAGGCTTTCCTGTCGGTGCCGATGCCCAAAGCAGGCGGAGGTAAAGCCTGGTCTGCAGCTGGTACTGGTGGTTCTGGTACTGGTGGGGGTCTGCTGGGTCTGTGGCTCCGGCTGCTGGTCAGCCTCTCTTCAGCGGAGGACGGTCAGCAGAGTATCCTCCGGGTCTCTGGAGCTCTGGAGGTGATTTCTGAGCTGGCTCTGCAGCGTCGCCACGCTCTGCTGACGCTCCACAACCTCTGCTTCTGCCCCAACAACAAGCCTCACCTCCTGGCCAACGGTACGCTGGATAGCCAGGGGTCACATGTACTAACTTCATGCTGGGATATTGTAGTGAATATAATCAGCTTTCTACGGGTCCAAAGCCAGAACAAGTGGTATAATTATGTGGAGCTGAATCTTGCCACAACGACTTCTTTAAATGTTGAAGAAATTCAGACCACAGGGGGAGTTAAGATGCACAACATGTGTGTCTCCAAACATAAGTACATAATAAAGAAATACTTAAAAAACCTCAATAGAAGGAGGAGAGAAAAATGGATATTGTGCTATTTTATAATTTTGAGTGAGCGTCTGGCCAGGCTGGGGTGAAGAGGAATCAGTTCTGAAAAACAAACTAGTTTTATTGAAAGGTATTCTATCGTCCTTTAGGTTAGAATAAAGTATGGCTTTATTTCTGATGAGAGTACACAAACGTTGTCACGCCCAGCAGCTCAATGTCTTGATGTCAGTCGCATCTTATACAAACAAAAGGACCTGATTGTTAAAGTGAAGTCAAACATGTGTGGAAACATTTATGTAAGGTACTGTAAAGTAGGCTGCCTGTGAAGATAAGAGACACGTAAACAAAGAAAGGAGAGGAAGTCACAAGCCCCTCGGTGGGCGCTGTGGGTGGGAGGTGTAAACTACAGGTGGGGATCATGTAGTGTTTCTGTTTCCTGTGGAAAGGTTTCACATTTCCTGTCTGTGTTGAACACATGAACCTAATCTAGTGATGAGGAAATGACCCAGTTAATAAAAGATTGGTGTAACTTTGTTTTGTCAAAATATCAAAATGTGGTGTCCTCCAGGCCAACACTTCTCTAGATATGATCTGTGTAACTCTGATGGTTTGAAATGAAACTCTTCTTGTCATTTTGAATTAAAACATGACTTATCTCATTGTGTGTTTATTTCAGACAAAGCCATGAAGGTGCTCCTCGGCTGTCTGAACAGTAAAGAGATGGAAACACGATCCATGGGGGCTTCTGCTCTGTGGGCGCTGCTCCATAACAATCAGAGGGTACACACACACACACACACACACACACACACACACACACACACACTCAATTTAATATTGAATAATCAATTTCTTGCAATTTCTTCCTGGCATTCGGAAAACGAAGAGTGAAACAGGCGAGCAAGTGTGCAGGTGTGCGTCATATGAGCCTTACATTTTCCACCACAGATTTGGGAAAATTGGTCCGTGCGCAAAGCATTGTGGGGATTTTAAGACCGCGGAGTCTACACATGTGCAGCCTCGACATTTCTCCTCGGTAGATTTCCAAGTATGCTGGACATTGGAACAGTACTTCGGCGGCACTTGATGACGTAGTATGCTTGAAATAGTGGCTCTGAAGCAGCTTTACTCGAGATTGAGAAACACCCTCTCTCTCTCTACCTACCTATCTATCTCTCTACCTACCTATCTATCTATCTATCTATCTATCTATCTATCTATCTATCTATCTATCTATCTATCTATCTATCCATCCATCCATCAATCCATCCATCCACATCCATCCATCCATCCATCCATCCATCCATCCATCCATCCATCCATCCATCCATCCATCCATCCATCCATCCATCCATCCATCCATCCATCCATCTATCTATCTATCTATCTATCTATCTATCTATCTATCTATCTATCTATCTATCTCTCTACCTACCTATCTATCTATCCATCTATCCATCTATCCATCTATCTATCTATCTATCTATCTATCTATCTATCTATCTATCTATCTACCTATCTCAAAGGCTGGTTTATTAGTGATATATTTAAAATGTAATATCTTCACTCTCTGTTCCTATAAATGATTCTGCTAGCTGCGTTGTCCTCTCACGTACAGAACACACTTCTTCTATCTCCTGATTATAAACTGAGAGATTTCACTCAACCTAATATCTCTTTCTGATTTCCCCTCAAAGGCGAAGACTACTTTAAAGTGTCCCTCTGTTCGATTGAGAGTAGAGGAGGCCCGCACCATCTCTAAGAAGGGTATGCATTTATTCCCTTTAATGTCAAATGTGTTTCTTTATGTCCTGTTGTTTACAAATGTGTGTTTTTTCTCCATTTACCACAGAAGCAGAGAAGAAGAAGAAGAAGGAGCCTCTGAATGAATATCTGTTGAAGTGCCTTGAAAGCCTTTCCCAGCTGCTAAACAACTAATTGTATTTATACTCTGTGCGTGTATCATGTTTTATAGTTTTGATATTAAAGAGCCAAGCGGCACACTGCTGAGTACCTGCCTGGTTTTCCACAGAGTTTTCTAGCTGTGGCTTTGAGCAGCTTTGTGCGGTGGTCGAGGTTTTATACGCTCTGCACATGGCACCAACGTGGGTTAGTTGGTCGGTAACCAACAGAACATTGGTGATACGTTTTGGTGCTTTTAAGGCCATCCGATGTCACTTATGAAACACTTGGCTGGAAATCCAGAGCTTAAAAAACTTCACAAGAAAAGTGATATTTTCGCAAAATAACGACTTCGTATCTCAGAATAAGTTCCTAGTTATTTTTATACTTTTTGATTAAATCACAAGGCCAATGTTCTAGCTTATTTGGTATTGTTGTACTGTAAGGGGCTTCCATATATCTGAGAACAATCATGGTTTAACAAAATGTACAAGGACAAAAGTTGTAAAGTTATTTCAATCGACAGCTTGTCATCCTTAGAAATCCTTTAAAAATGTATATAATATAGCATTTACATTATTTAATTATAAATGTATACAGTATATTCTAATGTTAGTCATTACTGTCCAAAAAATATCTTGAATTTTTTTAAAACATTTAAAAGAAATACTGGAAACATTTCTGAAAATTATCCACAAATTCCAGAAAATACATTGAAAAAAAAGGCTGGATTTTTCTTTTTAAAAGCCAGTATTATTATCCTCCTTAGAAGTCCTTTAAAAATATGTTATTGTATTATAGCATGTACATTACTAAGTAATTACTGTCCCAAAAATAGTAAGAAAAGTCAAAGAAATACTGGAAAAATGTCTGAAAAATATCAAATATTCCAGAAAAAACTGAATATCTTTTGGAATAACATTTTGAGTGCCTCCACTTTGACCTCAGTCCCAGTCCTGGTGTTGCAGTGCCCCTCTGAGTGCAGGAGCTCACAGTGGGCTCCATTGCATTTAAAATATACCCCCCCCACCCCGGTAAACCCCCAGTATTTGAAGAGTTTCTCTGCAGACGGAGCAGCAGGAAGTGAAGCTCGCTGCGTCTCTCCACTCATCAATGCAGCTTTCATTCTCCCTCAGCGGGGCAACATGGACGCTGTACAAAAGCACCACTGGTACTTCGTGGTACTCCTCTTCCTCCCTTCTCTTAAAGGTAAGGAGTTTATTTATATATGTAAATCTTATAGTAGATTAATGACTGGCAATATGTCATATCAAAACTCTTTGTAAAGTGGCTTTGTCTTAAGTTGTGTCGACTTCTATGATAGTAAGTTGTATCAGTTCATCTCATTCTGAAGGATAATTTAAACTAAGAATACCTTTTTTCTACTATTAATTGTATATTAGATTGTCTGTGAAGCTTGTTGTTGTGAGTTTTGTGAGACATTATTATTCTCAACCTGTCAACATCTCTCCCTCGGGGCATCACCGGACTGGAAATCACTTTTCATTCAGCTCGGATAAAAGCCTTTGAGAACTCGGAGGCTTGATCACCAACTTGTGTTTATGTTCTCTGGCTCAAATAAACCTAATTACCATTAACTGAGAGATGGCCTCTACGCTGGGAGAGGCTGTTAATCTACAAGCAGGGGAGATTTAGGGGGAAAACATGGCCTTTCTACATCTATCTTAGCTTCAAAATATGGTACGAATAGTTTAATATTAAAGTTAAAATGGGCTTTTGGAAATAAAGGGAATTGCGCCTGTCAGAAATTGAAGGCCCTCTGAATTGTGTGATTTGCACCTGACTGTAGGAATGTCTTATGATCATATGATTACTGTAAACCTTCCTGTTTTGGTAATAAAAGTGAAGAAAAATAAGCCTTCTGTTTGCAAAGTATCTATATGTTTGACAGTTATTATCCTACAATCAGCTGATCTTGCTTTGTGTATAATTAAGATTACATTTAATTTAATTAGGTTGAATTATTTGCAGCTTTCTTGGACTGCATTAACTGACAAAATGTCCCTCTCTCAGTTGCAGTGGTGCAGACGGAGGGATCCACGGTGCGTCTGGAGGAGGACATGGTCCTCTCCTGCCTCTGTCCTTGGAACGGAAACCTCAGCTCGGTTTCCTGGACTAAAGACCCCGACAAGTCCTCCATCGCCGTGTACCACCCTGAGCACGGAGAGCACATCCCGAGCCCCTACACGGAGAGGGTGGTGTTCCTGAAGACGACCCACATGGATGGAAGTATCTCCATGAGGAACGTCACGCACCAGGACATCGGGACGTACCACTGCTCCGTGCAGACCTTCCCCCGGGGGCCCTGGACCCAGAGCATCCAGGTGGAGGACTTGGGTAAAAGTCCTCTATTTTGTTAATACAACAGCGTAATGAAAACAGTTGTTATTAGGATTTAGGCAACAGAACAGGTCGAAAATAGTGAGGAGAACATGTTGAGCTGTCTTAAAGAGTCCATTAGTAAATTCCTAGATGTTATTCCTATTGTTTTAAACTATAAGTAAACATGAAAAACATTTCGCAAATACGACAGCGTGATGAAAACATTGATTTGTTCCCATATTTCTTATATTTGCAAATATCTTTTTGAGTTTACACAATTTTTGTCTGCATTTGGATGAATCTGCCTCCTTAGACCAACATGTGGGATGTAATCAAGTACAAGTCTGCTAAATGCACAGGTTATATAGTTGCATAGTCTAAAAATTCCATGTCTAAAGAGCATCTACAGACTTCATACTTTGTGACGTCACAAGTTTGAGAGAGTAGTCATGTTACAAAG